TTTACACCTGAGGAAGTCAAAGTGAACTTGAGTGCCAGGCCCACCCTTGCCAAGCCCGCTATCTGAATCTCTACCCTCAACCCATCTTTCCAACCATTCTTTCAGTTCCTAGACCAGCCAGGCTCTTTTGCACAGATGTCCTGGCTTTTGCAAGTGTTGTTGCCTTTTGCACACAACTCACCTCAGTCAATTGTCCACCAAATCCACTTCATCAAAACATTTTTCTAGTCACCCTTCCCAACCAAAGCCTTCTGAGGGCTCCCTGCTTTGGGTAGTATAATCCTCTCTTATGCATTCCCTTGGCAGACTATGCTTCGCTTCACTGTAGTATTGATTATGGTTAGATTGACAGCAACCTGAGGGCAGGACTGTGTCTTCTGTGTGTAGCCTCCTGGCTCAGCACGCTGCCTTGAAGCATTAAGAGTGTGCACTAAGAATTAGTTCAAGGAATAAATGGTCAACAAGTGTCACTGTTTAAAGGATACGCTGCAAAGTACATAATGTCTTAACAGTTCTTTTTTTTTCTTTTGTTTTAATCATTCTTTTTTATAATCAGCAAACTTGTAATTAGGTATCTTTGCCATTCCCCTAGTACAATTCATGAAAAGAATTCACCCCAGATTTGTGAGGGACAGGGGTTGGTGGCCACTTGCAAGCCACGATAAGTGTGACATTAACATAAAGTAACACAAAGCTTTTGTGCAATGGACTCCTCTGATTCAAGAACTGTAGAATTGCAGAAATAAAAGCAAAGGATTGTCCTCTGTTCTGTCCTCTTACTCCCTCTAGTGTCAAGAACTCCAAGTAAGGAAATGGAGACCACTGGGTCTTGGCTGTTTCTCTGTATCATTCACCTGCTTCAAAAAATACCATTGGGATTCCTTCCCATCGAGGACCCCAAGAGAGAAGGCCCGACTCATGTGAGGCATCCAGGCTGCATTGTCTCTCCTTGAAATCACTGTGCTGGAGGGCCTAAGGCCATTTGTGCATTTGTGTCCAACCGAAGTGCCCAAACCTGAAAGAGTATTGGGGTCCTTTAAAAGTTTCTAAAATTTCAAAATGTCTAAAGAAACTGTACCATCACTGGAGATAAAAGTGAAAACCACCCCCAAAATTGGCAAGTGTCTTTGCCTTCAGCTGCAATGTATCAGCGTGGTGTTGGATCAGCACTGCTCATATCCCACTCACTCTCTGTCTTGAATTGAACATAGTAAAATAAGTAATGGCTATCTACATGCGGTTGATAAAGAGGGTAAGATATGTTTAAATTTGGGGCTCATAAAGCTAAAAATAATGATAAAAGTGGTCCTTGACAGTGAAAATTCTAGGACCCACTTCTCTGCTACCCCACTGGCCTCTGAGGGGTGGAGACGCTGGGCTGCTTTCTGAGAGGGCCAGGCCACACCACTGGACATGTGGAGGAGAGACGACTCAGTAGCCTGCAGCTGTGAATGCCAAATAGTTATTCTGTGGAAAAGCACTCACACTGGCTTTTATCACTTTGGGCTCAAAAACTTTTGAAGTCTCCTGAGAGTCTCCTCAATGAAACCCAAATTTGTTAGTCTTTTCTATTTTTTTTTCAGTTTTCTGTTCTCCAATTTCACCCAACCTTTCAAATAACTCCTATGTCCCAGTCTATCAACTCTCCTCATTAACCTGGGTGAGTATATTTTGAACATTTACTCATTCATCCATCACATACTGACTACAGGCTCATTATGGGTCAGGCACTGTGCTAGATGCTGGAGAAAACAGCGACAGATGTTTTCTCTACCATCACGAAGGACACAAAGAAGGGGTGCGGAGACATGAGAAGGTAGGGTTGCTATAAGAGTCCATAACAAAAACACAAAATCTGTATGCGGGGAATGGGGTACCTCCTAAAAAAGTGGCATTTAAACAGATCTGAAGGACAAGAAGGGATTAATTAACCAGGTAAAGAGGAGGAGAAAGCACCCCCGGTTGAGAGAACACCATGTGCAAAGGCCCTGAAGTGGGAAGAAGCACCGAGATTACTAAGCCATCCTTGCTCATTCCATCCTCCCTGTTAGATTCTGCCCTACAGTCTCCACCTAACAAAAACCCTGAGAAACAGGGCTCAACCCTTACCTCTTATTGATAACCATACCCGAAAAGTATCATTCTCAACTGAACCGAAGGTTTCATTTTCTGTAATCTTTATGTGACACTATTACTGCCTTGTGGGGAAGCTACAGGTATATCTGTTCTGCTCTCCTAACTATATTACAAGGTCTTGAAAAGCAGAAATCTCTACATATAGGAAGAAATCAAATAGTTATTGGACTGAGTTATGTTTCTTTACATTCCTCACATTAACCTTAGACCTAGCTGGCACTTTTGTGAGTAAAACTGAAGGGATGAAAAAAAAAAAAATGAAGTCCAGAGTAGGGCAACGATTGTGAAGAATTAGGAAGGGTCTGAGATCCTACCCTACTTGCGGGCTAACAAGTTAGCCTCTCACAGTGGCATGGATGCAGGCAGAAGACATGAGGATCCTTGACCAGAGACAAAGGACATCATTACTCATGGCACAGCAAGCTACACGAGCATCAGCATATTTGTGTCCGTTCCTTGGCCCCGAGCATCATGGGGTGATGCAGATGGGCCCAGGATTGCACCTGAGTGTGCAGTGGATTGCATTACAGAGAAGGACCCTGAAAACCCAAATCTTTTATAATAGGCAGCAAGCATGAGGCCTTTTGCTCCAGAAGGAGACATTATATTCCCAAGGCTGTCCATAATACAAACTGCCTTAAAAGAGAGTCCAAACAAAAGGCAGAGAGGACCTCTGCATGTGGGGCATGTCGGACCCACAGAGAATTCTCTCCCAACACTGAGCATGGTCAACAGGCATTATTAATAAAAATGGTTACTGTTTCTGGAGTGTTTATGTGTCCCATGTACTTGTGCTAAGCATTCTATTAGCTCCTTTACTCTTTTCAACACACACTTACAAAAATATTAACAGATTCATAAGAAAATAGTTTTAAAAATGAAGACTTTCAGCATACAAATATATAATAGCAACCATGGAGATTTTGGAAACACACAGAAGCATTAGAGCATCTCAGGGAATGGCTAACCTATTAGCTCCACTCTCACTCCATGTGCTCTCCTTGCCACTGCCTCTCGGTACTTCTCCCCACAGCTGGGCAGAATATGGCTGTCCCAGCCCTGAGCTCACTTGCTGAAGTTCCAGCCAGGCTCAGAAAATGATTAAGAATCCCTGGATCCAAGTACCAGTTCTACAAAAAAGAATATGATTGGTCCAGCTTTGGTCACATGACTAATTAACACTTGTATTTGTGTATTTGTATTTGTGTTACAGTAATATAAAGAATAACCAGTATTAATAGATAAAGAGGTATATTTTTATTATAATTACTTAATTTAAGGTAAGTAGAAATATTGTGGTCCCACTTCTGGTCTGTATCTTCCAGTGGTTGTGAACTCCTCCAGAGTACGGATCATATCATTTAACAGAATTATAATCATATTGAAGATATACGGTTGACCCTTGAACAACACTGGCTTGAACTGCCCCGGTTCACTTACACACAGATTTTTTTCAATAAATACAGTAGGCCCTTGGTATCCATGGGTTTCACATCTGTGGATTCAACCAAGCTCAGACAGAAAATACCATTTTTGGTCCCCAATTGGTTGAATCTGTGGATGGGAAGGGTCTATTACAGAATCAAAAGTTATATACGTATTTTAGACTAGCTAAGGTAAGCACTCCTAACCCCGCCCCATTGTTCAAGGGTCAATGAATGTGAGAACGTGGGTACGTGTGTGTGTGTGTATGAATTTCCCTGTCGCTGAGATTTTAAAAAATACTTAATGGCTTCATATTATCCCAACTTGGAACATTTCTGCAAGTTACTGAATCACTCTGAATATTTAGATTATTTCCAATTTTTCACTATTATACATAAACACTGTAAGGTCTATAAATCATAAAAGTCTTAGCTACAAATGTGATTAATTTTTCTTAGCATAGATTCTTACTAGTGAAACTTTGGCTAATCACTTTTTAGAGTTTTCATAGACATTATTAAATTGCTTTCCAAATACGTTGTACTCATTTACACTCCTGCCAGCATCATGAGTTCCCGAATTTCATATTTGACAGCATTAATAATCGTAACTTTAAAAAATCTGCAAAGGTTTTCCTTAACTGGTGCGATTGACCTGTCCTTTCTTATTTATTTTCAGTTTTTAAATAGCCATTTATATTTCCTCCCCATGAATGGTTTGTCAAAGCCCTTGCTGGTGGGGGAATCACGTGTTCTTTTAATGTGCCCCAGTAGTTAGAACGGTGCTTGTTACGCAACTGACGTTCCCAGAGCTTTGAAAACACATGGGTGGCAAAATGCAGTGGTAACTGTTTAAACACTTGTGAGAATAATCAAGCCCCTAAAAACTAACTATTGTGTACCATTTAAAGACGTACAAAATACATATTAGCCCCGCAACTACTGTGTGTTATTTTCAGCATTTTACCACGTGGAGCAAAGTCTGGAGTAAATGAGGTCTGAAAGGGATAAGTATAATAGTAATATCAGTCCTACCCTAGAAGCCGAGGAATTCAGTTTCCCTGAAGAGAGGGACTAAACCTACTTAAGTTCCTCCTCCTGTGCACTAGAGGGCGAAGCTGCAGGTTAAGGCCCCAAGTATGAGGAATTCTCCGGACTACACTTCCCAGAAGGTTTCTAGGTGACCAGCTCCCCCAGAATGCTCACTGGCGGAGTATTTCAGTCCCAGATTACTGTGCGGGTAAATGTGACCCACCCCCCCACCCCTTCTCCCACCGGCCAATATGTGCAATGGTCGCTGGCTACTCAGGGTCACTCGGCTGTTGAACTGTACCTCATTGCCAGGAAGCTGGCGCCGGAAGGTTGAAAGACAAGATCCCGCTTTCTAAGGGTGGTAACGGCGTGCAGGGCTTGGGAAGGGCTGGTGGGCGAGGCTGAGCCGCTGTGAACCATGCTACCAAAATGTGGACCCGCGTGTGAGGAGGCCTGGGTATACGGAACCTCTGGTCCAGCAGGCGCTGGGAGGGGTGTTTGCGACGCGTCAAAAACTACATTTCCCGGCATCCTCCTGGCTGCAGGACTACCTTGCCCGAAAGCCTGAGCGTGATTCGTTCAGCCTTTCCGTTCTTAGTCCAACCGAGACGCTGAGGGTATGTGGAGTCGTAGTGTTTGGCGGCTCCTGCTCTCTGAAAGCAGCGGGGGGCGACAGATTTCATCTCCCCGCGGGCGTTTCTCGCGGGCACTGCGGAGAGGTGAGAAAAGGCGCCGTGTCTATGTCTGAGTGCGTTCTAGAGAGGCGATGCTCGTGCCTGCTCCCGTGACTGAGAGGCGAGGGTGCCACGCCCTCCTGCCCCACCCACTCTTGGCCCCGGAGACCCTCCCTGCTGCCGGGTCTCTCCCCCGAGGGGGTCAGGGACCACCAGGAGGACTGTCTTCCTCTTCCGAGAGCGAGTTTCTGACGGCCTGGGGTTCCCGCCGGGCTACACCATTAGAGCCCCGCCAGGCTTCTGAGCTCCAGTTCCCTTTACCGTCAAATAAAACCGATGATTGCCGCCCTCTCGTAGATCTGCCGGGAGCGAGCAAGCGGAAGGTAATCGGTGTCTGGGGAGTCCTGATTTCTTTCGTGGCCTGTTCAAGTTTAGGTTCTGTTATGTAGGTGCTGGCCTCGACCCCAGGTTTTTGGTAGACTGCATCACACGCCAGGTCCGCTTTATTCTCTCTCTAATTTTCAGTATCCTGAAGTCAACACATATTTCATAAAGTAGAAAGTGAATGCTGGAACCTACAGGTGTTGAACTAGTTGGCACCCCTGTTAGCAGTGTGACCTGGAGGACATCTGACTTTATTGAGAGACGTTTTCAGTATTCTGCCCCCTCACCGTCCCCGCCCCCCCCCCCAATTTCTAAACTCTAAGGTTGTCCAGAGAGTGGGCACTTGGTACTGATATCAGCATTCTCTGTTCACCTTGAGTCTTCAGTGCCAGGTGAAATGACCCGACCAGTACCCACTGTATTTTGTGCTGTTTTGCTCATTGCTTCCTTTTCCTCACACAGTTGTTCATGCCCGGTAAGAAGGCTGTGTAGCTGCCAGGGCCCTTCACGCCTTTGAGTATATATTTAGGTGTTTAGCATGCATATGCATTAGATGGCCTTTACCAAAAAAGAGGCAGCATTTTTTTGAACCCTGGAAAATCACTCCAGTCTCAATCCTATCTGTGTAAACTTTTGGAGGTGTATGTTTACATACTCAAATGAAAACAACATTAAACATTTTGAGAATGAACTTTGAAGTACATATAATACTGGAAAATACATCACCTTAAGTAAACGAAGTTTCAGTATATATGTTGTTACTCCTCTTGAATCTGACTGTTGTCAAAGAAACCTTAAGTGTCCCCGTACTCTTTTTCATCGTTTGAATTAGGTTTATGTTTAGATTTCAATTTTTTTTTTTTTAAATCTTGCCTACTAGTCTATAAAGTCAAGAAAACACATTGTGTCTGGTTTTGCTCATCATCTCCTGTGCCTTAAAACTTGGGAATTTAAAAAAAAAAAAATGCCTACTAATCTGTAAAGTCAGTGAAAACTTTATGCCTGGTTTTGGTCATCATTCTCTGTGCCTTAAACATTGGGAATTTATTGTGGCTCAGTTAGTTGAGCGTGCTCCCACAAGTGAAAGGCTGCCTGTTTGGTTTGATTCCAGGTCAGGGCACATGCCTGCGTTGTGGGTTGGGTCTCGGGTGGAGGCATGTACAAGAAGCAACCAGTTGATGTTCTTTCTCATACTGGTGTTTCTACTAGCCTCTCTCTTTCTTCCTTCCCCTCCCTCTAAAAATAATATTTTTAATTGGAAATTTATTTAAACAGGACATATATTTTTAAAATGTGAAACTTGTCCTAGAAGTTTGTGTTAAAAGTAAATATTCCAGATTTTAAAATAAAATTCATTGATTCAAAAATAAAATACTGTAATCCAGCTTTTTACCAGCACTGTTCTAAGTATTAAAGATACAGTAATAAAAAACAGAGTCAGGGCTTCATGGAGCTTATGTGCTGGTTCAGGGAGGCAAATAGTAAACAAGATAATTTCAACTGAGAACTGTGTGGGAAATAAACTGAGTATATAAGAGTGGGAGTACAGAAAGCTACCTTGCATGGGCATATAGGTCTCATAAGTATATAAAAGACTTCTAAGCACTGAGGAGAGTTGGGCAGTTTCTGTTCTCCAGGAATTAAAGAAGTGGCAGAGATATCCAGAACTTTTGATGTATATAATACTTTAGACTGACTTTTTAAAAAAGATTTTATTTATCCATTTTTAGAGAGAGAGGAAGAAAAGGAGCAAGAGAGGGAGAGAAATATCAATGTGTGGTTGCCTCTCACATGCCCCCTACTGAGGACTTGACCCACAACCCAGGCATGTGCCCTGGCTGGGAATTGAACCAGTAACCCTTTGGTTTGTAGGCCCGCACTCAATCCACTGAGCTACCCCCAGCCATAGCTAGACTGATTCTTAACAAACCATTTCTGAATACTAAAAGAAGCAAAAGAAACATTTACTGAATGTTTGCTATGCCAAATAATGTTGACACTTTTGGATAAGACAGGCTCAGAGGAGTCAATTATCTACCCTAAAATTACAGAATTCCTAAATAGGAGAGCTGGAACTGTATTATAGATGGGGAAAATGCTTCAGAAGCTAAAGCGTGAGGCTTCCATTTGTTACTACAAGAAATAAAAATGCTGTCTTCTCTTTTCAGACTTCTTCACCACTACAACCAAGGAAGAATATGATACAAGGCGAGTGGACATAACTCCTTTAGAACAAAGAAAATTAACTTTTGATACCCATGCATTGGTTCGAGACTTGGAAACTCATGGTGAGAGACATGGGTATCTTTTGAAAGAAGTAAATTAACACCACTCATAATAAATTACCTAGTCAAGACAGAATCACTATTAGGAACAATTAAGTGTCACTAAGTGTAAGTGCCACCAATACAATGGAATATTTTACAGTCATAAAAATGGTATTACTTAAATAAATATGAGAAATGCTAAAGTTACATTAAGTGAAAAAAGCATTATATAAAGTTACATGTGTAGAATGATTTCCAATTATGTGAAGAGGCAAAAAAAAAAAAACAAACCACCCGTAGCTTCTAGGCTGACACTGAAGTCCATGTAGAAGTACAAGGACAATGTTTAAGAAGAGCAAAAAAGAAAATCAAAGAACAAGCACCACAAAATGACCAGATTATCAAAACAGTCTTTTAAATTATGTGATAGCACATAGAAAAGGTGATTGTAGAATGGGATACACACACATGGGTTTAGCAAGCAAATTTAAAGGCAGCATTACAAATTCGGTAAAGGAAGGACTATTTAACCAACGAGTTATAATAACTGACTAGCTAGCCATGTGTACTATGTGATATTTCTAATCACAGAGATGGTTATATGATTCCCCCTTACTGAAAAATAAATTCTGGGTTGACTAAAAGCTAAATGTAAAAAAATGAAAGAAAAACTATAAAAAATACTAGAATATACAGTATTTTTAGAAGAATCAAGACATAAAACTCGAAAGCAATGAAAGTAACAACAGGCCTGGCTATAGAAGTATTTAAATCTGTATCTCAAATGATATCCATAAAGTTAAAATTGTTAGCAACACACATGACAATGAGCCTATTGCTTTGAAATTCAAACAGTTCACATGAATCAAGAGGAAAAAGTTAAGCAATTTTAAACATAAATGGGCAAAAGTTATAAACAGCTCACAGAAGAATAAATGTCAATAACCAATAAATATATGGACAGATGCTTGACCAAGGAAATGCAAATTTTAAATACAAATTAAAATAACAATGCAATACCATTTTTCATGACAATTATTTGCTTGAAAATAAAAAGACTAGTACTATCCAGTGTTGATGTAGATTGGGAAAATGGATCAGTGGGAATCAAAATTGTAGAGTGCTTTTAGAGAATTATTTTACGTAATCTGTCAAATTTTTAATTGTAAAGATGTTTTTAAAAGAATAATTTATAGGGGAGGTTATTCAGCTGTCTATTCTAATAAGAATGTGCACTTTTTTAAAAATATACCTATTTGCTGCCTGCAGGATTTGACAAAGCACAGGCAGAAACGATTGTATCAGCATTAACCACTTTATCAAATGTCAGCTTGGATACTATCTATAAGGAGATGGTCACTCAAGCTCAACAGGTAACAGTTTAATTTTTATTACTTAACTGCATCTTTTGTCTTATCTACTAACCTCCCAAACACACTTGCATCTTCCTTATTGTTCTGTCTAAAAGGATCAAAAATTTAAAAATCCCTTTAGTAAGAAAGCATCTAGAGAGATTAAGGAGTTAGAATAGTCATAACAATTATGGTAACACAAATGAAATTTTACCAAATTTTCATTGTAAGATAATCACATTATTTGAATCATGAGATGGTAGTACATTGTGAAATAATTTTTCCCTGTTGAAAGCCCTCCACAGTAGAAGAGCTAACGCTTCTATATAATAAAAACATGCCCTGGCTGGTGTGACTCATTGGATTGAAAGCCAGCCTGTGAAGGGTCACTGGTTCAATTCCCAGTCAGCCAGGGCACATGGTTAGGTTGTGGGCCAGGTCCCCAGTAGGGGGTGCATGAGAGGCAACCACACATTGATGTTTCTCTCCCTCTCTCCTTCCCTTCCCCCCTCTCTAAAAATAAAATCTTTAAAAAATATTTTACTGCAGTGATGTTTATATTCTTCTTAATTTTCCCAAACTTAGAAGGCTGGATAGGACTTACATAGCTGGGAATGACTTTATAAAGCATTTGGCTAAGATGCTTTAATTTGACTGGATACACAAATAATGGCATTTACTAAGAACTTAGGATATGAGAGGCACAGTGTTGGGACTCTTCACATGTTATTTAACCCCTTTAACAATCTTAAAATGTAGGTAGAATTATTCTCTTTTGCCACTGAAGAGATGAGCAGAGAGGTTGAGTAATTTGCAAGAGCTGTAATTGTGGTGCCGTGGACAAAGGCAGTGATTTCCTGTAAAGGACAGAATAAGCTTAACTGTGGAATAATTCATAGTTTGTCATCATGAGTTCATTCACTATGTTTAAGAATCTTTCATTTGATTATATACTTTAAATTTTACTTTTTCAAATTTAGGCTTCCTTTCTTAGTTAAATATTTGACAACAGAGGGAAATGAAGGGTTCTTATGTAAAATTAGAAGCTCTTGCATAAAATTTCATTCTATTAAAGGTCATAACTCAAAAGCTTTTTAAAGTTTTTTATGATAATTTCCAGTTTCATATTCAGAATTAAAAACATTCAGTCCTTGGATTTAACTTACCTATAAATTTGTGTGTGCATTATTTTAGCTTAATTTATTCAGAACCATAACAGATTACTAATCTACTAAAGAAAAAGCCAGCCCTGGCTGGTGCAGCTCAGTGGGTTGAGCATGGGCCTGCAAACCAGAGGATCCTGGTTTGATTCCCAGTCAGGGTACATGCCTGGGTTGCAGGCCAGTTCCCAGCAGGGGACCCACGAGAGGCAACCAATACATTGTTATTTCTCTCCCTCTCTCCTTCCCTTTCCCTCTGAAGATAAATAAATAAAATCTTTTTAAAAATTAAAAAAAGAAAAAGCCAGTCATTTAATTCTCCCAAACCTCTGAGCTGTCCTGAAACAGCTAATTGAGCCACTGGCATTTTTAATAAGGAAATATATTCTTAAATCAGACTTTTAAGTTTACCTATTATATATTTAGTGGTTTATATTACCTATTATATAAAACTCTGGTTTGAGAAATATTTATGCTGCCAGGACCGTTTAATCACATATTCAAAATACAGGATTGGATGTAGAAATACTACTCCTAAACTTTTGACTTTTTATTACTAGTGTGTGAAATTAAAATCCTCTTCTACCCCGAGCCTATCCCCTTCCTGACCCCACCTCTAGGAGAGAACAACACACAAAGATGTCATGAAAGATCGGGCTGGGACTCAGGCCTTCAAACATCATGCTTGATCACTTCAGGAAGGACTGTACTGAGTCAGGTCTGCTCAATCTGAAAATACAATTATACTCTGACTCATTTAAAATCTGAATTATAGTCATCTTCTCTGGTGGCTCCACAGTAGTTACAATGATTACCCTTTCAATAGATTTGACTACTTAATACTGGATTATACTTTTCCATTTAACAATTTTGAAGATGGACGCATGTGCTGGTTGGTAGGCCTTTTTGGGTCACAGACTGTATTGAAAGGAGGACAGGGAAATGAAAAGAGGCCACTGGGGTCATAGTGCAGTTCCTTACCTCAGGTTCAGACTCCACCAGAACTCTGCAATTACAGTTTTCAACTATTCTCTATATAGTCTCAGTAGTAACATGTTATTAAAGATTTAAAAAGATAACATATTTAATGTTTTAGAGTTTCATAATGACATTTTGGAGCAATAGGACTAACACAGCTCATAAAGCCACTTCTGCATAACTTCCTAACTAATTTTCATGAATATTCAAACAGAACTGCATAAAAGAAAATTTACCCCCATCCTCAGTAATATATGACAGGGAAGGCATGAGACTCAGGGATGTCTCGAGTACACAGTAAAAAATAAATGTTTTATGATAGGGTTAATAGTTAAGGCAAAACTTCTCCATATCAACATAATTAAAGTTACACTGTCTTGCTTCAGCCATTTATATCCCTGTCTCTGGTTAATTGTAATAACCAACATTCATTGAGTGCCAGGTATTATTTGAAGCATTTGATATGGACCATCTCATTTAATTCTCCAAGCAGCTCTCGTAAGGTTTAGGCACTGTTATTATTTCTAATGAGGAGGTCAAGGAAGTTAAATAACTTGCCCAAAGTCCCACAGTAAATGACAGCCTTTGGATTCAAAGCCAGACCTCCTGAGTCCAGAACTCACATTTTTAACTTCTATTCCATATGACTGTGCCATGTGGGAGTTGTCACTGGAGAGTGTTGTGCATGCCGGGTTCTTTGAAGACTGAGTCATTTCTTGGTCCCCCGTCTGAAACTGTGTTAACAGCCTCTGTTTTCTAAGAGTCAAGTCAGTTCTGAAATGGTCTTTCTTGCCCATATGGCCAGTAGAGGACTATAACCCCAACAGTGCACTCCTGGCCACAAACTGACCACTATGGGAGTTCCACTAGTGAGCCTGTTCTTATTTGGGGTTTTTGTTTGTTTGCTTATATACCCTGTTACAGGGGGTCATTTTCATGGCTGCATCCTTATTTTTTCTTTTGGTAAAGAGGAAGAAATAATGAGTTAACAAGCTACCAAGTAAAGTTCAGTGTTACATTTTTTTCTTTGTACAGTCTGCCTTAAATTATTTCTATAAAAATGTCCTTCCCTAGCAAAGTAAATGCGTATAAGTCTATCAGGTGGGAACCACCTTTTCTTTTACATATTCCTTATAGTACCAAATATAAGAAAATTACCCAGAAATTTGTGTGTGTGTGTTAATTTGCTCATGATATAGCCACCCAGGCATGAGCAAACTTATTTGGATAAAATGCAAATTGGCTTGAAGGTTTAACAAAAATCAACTATATAATAAAAATGTTTAATATTCCACCCCCACCTTTTCATTTTTATGTCTCTTGCTTTTTCTGTTTTCAGAAACAGAAACTGTTCCAAGAGAGACAGTACTAAAATGTCATTTTAAAGTACTAACTAGCCCTGGCTGGTGTAGCTCAGTGGATTGAATGTGGGCCTGCAAACCACATAATTGGGGTTCGATTCCCAGTCAGGGCACATGCCTGGGTTGCAGGCCATTTCCCAGCAGGGGACTCACAAGAGGCAACCATACATTGATATTTCTCTCCTTCTCTCCTTTCCTTCCCCTCTAAAAATAAATAAATAAAATCTTTTTTCAAAAACACTAATTAGCCCTGACCAGAGTGGCTCAGTAGGTTGGGAGTCATCCCACAAAGCAAGAGCTTGCCTGTTCAGTTCCCAGTCAGGGCACATGCCTGGGATGCAGGTTTGGCCCCTGGTCCATGTGCATGCAAGACTCAATCAATCAATGTTTCTGTCCTTTCTGCACCCCTTCCCCTCTAAAAATAAATAAACTCTTTTTAAGAAAACCACTAATTATGTTATGCCGACAAGGGGTAGTTATTTAAACCATACTTGTACCTATTTTGTTTTACTACCTGACTTCTGAGTCAGGTACCCTGGCATTTTCTGGTGGTAGAAAATCCCTCAAAATTAAAGCAATAAAACAAAACCCTTTCTATGCAGCCATTTAAAGACAAAAAAAAACCCGTATTTGTTGAGGAACTCTTAGGTGTTAGGTAAGCATTTTATGGGGATTCTTTTATAAATGTTTCTAGACATTTATTTCTCTTCACTGGGAAATCATTTTTCTTCCTTGAATTTCCTGTTCCTTTTCATTTTGATATTTCAGATATCTAGGTTTCATATGTTCCAGGGTATTTTTCTTGTCTTTCTCTCTTTTTTTTTAAAGATTTTATTTATTTATTTTTAGAGAGAGAGGAAAGGTGGGAGAAAAAGAGGGAGAGAAACATCAATGTATGGTTGCCTCTCACATGGCCCCCACTAGGGACCTGGCCTGCAACCTAGACATGTGTCCTGACTGGGAATCAAACAGGCAACCCTCTGGTTCACAGCCTGCACTCAATCCACTGAGCTATGCCAGCCAGGGCTCTTCTTCTTTTTTTTTTTTTTTTACTTAGCCAAGTGACGTGGTATCTTGTAGCATAAGATACTCTTCAAGTTTCATGAAAACAATTCCATGTTAAGGGGATAGCTTTCCATAGATCACTAGGTGATTTTTTTTTCCCCTAGGAAATAACAGTACAACAGCTAATGGCTCATTTGGACTCCATCAGGAAAGACATGGTCATCCTAGAGAAAAGTGAATTTGCAAATCTGAGAGCAGAGAACGAGGTGACAGAAACTTTCATTTTATTACCAATAAAATAATGTGTCACAAGTAGTCTACTTAGTGCGTAATAGGGCCAAATAGCAAGTTTATGTGGTTATTAATTAATTATTTACAAGTTCTTTTTTTTCTATTTACAAGTTCTTAGGTAAAAATATACTCTTTAATCTACCTAATCTCTCTATGTATAAAGCATAGTTTCTTGCATACTAAAGAATGAGTTGTAACTTATGTATATAAAAATTATGTAAATATTTGAGCTCTATAATATTGTATAAGATTTTAGCATAGTTCATAGTATAATAAAAGTAATGTGACATTTTCCATTTTATATGATTCTGTACTAATTACTTTAGTCATTTAGGAGAAAAATGTATTTTTGTAATTCAGTCAGAACTTAATTATCCACCAGCTTAATTATTTTTTAATTTAGAATATTAATCATTTAAAAAAGTAGAATACTAAAACAAATACATTTTCTAATATTTTTATAAGAATTATTTTCTGAATATGAAGAACTGTTCTTTCTTGTCTTTATTTTTAATCAAATCCTATATTAGAAATCCATACATCATCTACTTTTTGCTAACCTAGGGTTTCAGATTTTATGAAAAAAATTACAATATGAGCTCTTAGTTTAATGTTAATTGTATGTGATCTTTCTTATACCTAGAAAATGAAAACTGAATTAGAACAAGTTAAGCAACAATTGATAGTAAGTGAAACTCTTCTTCCCACTTAAGAATATTTTATCAATTTCAGAATATTCATTACAAGATCACCTTTTAAAATTTTATTTTTCTTTAAAGAATGAAACCAGTCAAATCAGAGCAGATAATAAACTGGACATCAACCTAGAAAGGAGCAGAGTAACAGATATGGTAATGTGCTTTTAAATGTACTTTCTTGATTATTTATTGCTTTTTAATACCTTTAGTCTTTTTTTTTTTTTTTGTTAACCTCCTGATGCATGATATCCTTTAGTTTACAGATCAAGAAAAGAAACTTATGGAAGCAACCACAGAATTTACCAAAAAGGTAAGCTACTACCTAAAAATGTCTCTTGTACAGCTCTCCTGCCTTGTGTAACTGCGGTATGTGTATCAGTTTATAACTTTGGACTTTAAACAGCCAGCCTGGTAGAATCCATGCCTTTCTCAGAGCTGTTGGTCTGACCAGCACTGGGAAAGCTGCCACCCAGTGGGTGACAGTACCCGAGCTGTGACATCTGAGTCAGAATCGAGCTTTCCAGGTAGCATACTTTTTAACTAACTTACTTATACATGAAAAGATAACTATTTTTTAAAAAGAAAATAATTCACAATTAGTAGTTAAGTGAGTACCTAGATGAAATTAAATTTTAAAAACTAAGAGTAAATATTTGAGTGCTTATTGTATGTCAGATACTATTCTGCTTGCTTTACTTCTTTCTCTTAAGTTCTTTAACCCTTATATCAGCCTCTGTGAGACAGGCAGTCTGTATTCCCACTTTACCCATTTCAAAAATGAAGCACGGGAACGTTAAGGTCACATACTGCTTATTAGTGGTAAAGCTGGGCTGTGAACCTGGAATTTAAACCCATTGTTCTCATTACCTAGAAGGTAACCTTCTCAGTAATCCTACATTGTCATAATTAATATCTGTGGCTTGAGTAAAACTCAATTTTCTGGCTTAGCCTAGTCCTTTTCTGAAAAGTTAAGAGGCATTGTGTACATTCTAATAGAAGAGACAGTACTGTTTCTTGCTTCTAATATTGTAGAAGATCCCATTTGTCCTTCTTACAATCCTAGTCTCCTCTCTTCCTTTTTGGCCTGATAAAGGACATTAGGAGATTTAAAATCTGTCCCACCACTCATTTCTGAGCTCCAAGTGCCATTTTCTTTCTCTTCCTGTTTCTCAGCTCCTGCCCACCTCGCATTCAGTGTTGCCCTGTAAACATTTCTGCATTTCCTTTCTTATTGGTGCCAGTTCACATTATAAACCTGGTTAGGGTTCTTTTTCAAAATATATTTGAATTTTTAACTGTCTTATCCTAAGGACTTTTTTTATACATGAAATGATAGTTCAGTGACTACAAATTTTTCTTCTTAGTTTATCCTCATATATTTAAGTCTCAAATATCTTACTATGAGGCTTCTAGTAGAATGTGCCCAGAATATGATAATCTTAATAAATGGTCTCCAAATATTAAAGTAGAAGGAATATTTTTTGTCAGTTTATAATGTTCACATAATATTTTTTTAATAAGATTTTATTCATCCATCTTTAGAGGGGAAGGGAAGAAGAGAGGGAAAGAAACAACATATGGTTGCCTCTCGTGTGTCCCCCACTGGGAACTGGCCTGCAACCCAGGCATGTGCCCTGACTGGGAATCAAACTGCGATACTCTGTTTCGCAGGCCCATGCTCAATCCACTGAGCTACACCAGCCAGGGCACATAATAATTTTTTTTTTAAATATCACATTGCTTTTACTATGTTTCCTCAACTAAGACTTTTGTTAAAACACAATTCACCCATAAATTAGGGTTTCTAATGTAAATATTTTTGCTAGTATACATAAGCACAAAACTTAATTGTCTTTATTCTTATTTGCTACAGGATACTAAAACCAACAGTATTATCTCAGAGACCAGTAATAAAATTGACACTGAAATTGCCTCTTTAAAAACGCTAATGGAATCTAACAAGCTTGAAACAATTCGTTATCTTGCAGGTAAGGCTGTCAGAGAAAGGAATTATTATCATTTCACTTTCAGGCCTGTCAGCTCCTACCAGGTAACGCTGGCCAGCACAGAAGAAGAAATGGAGGAGCTGTCACAGGTTTCCTTCATTGCTTGGTCCCTGCAGTGAGTGAAAAATCTAAGTTTGATAGGCAGTAAGTTCAGGATATAAGTTTAACAGGCAGCTGTGCAACTTTCTAAGATGAAAAAACTTATGGGTGTCCAGGAAATATATAAACACAACTACAAAAGGATGTGAAGAAAAACAGGTATTCCACAATGGAAAAAAATGTTATTTTTACTGGCTATCTTCTCCCATCAGTATTTGAGTGGACTTAAGAGGAAGCATAACTAAAATATATATAGGCCATTAAAAGTCGTAGCAAGCAGCCCTGACTAGGTGGCTTAGTTGGTTGGGATGTCATCCCATACACCAAAAGGTTGCATGTTCAATTCCCAGTCAGGGTACACTCCTAGGTTGCAGACTACTGGTGGGCGTTTCTCTCTCACATCAGTCTTTCTTTCTCCCTCTTCCTCCCTCCCTCTAAAATCAATACTATATATTCTCAGATGAGGATTTTTAAAAAATCATAGCAAGCAAAGAGGAAAAATACTTCCTACCTTGAATCCAACTGACTGAACACAGATGCTACCCCCAAATTAGATTATTTGACCCATCCTGGGCTCAAGTACCATGTGACCTGAAACAATCACAGGACCCCAAGGAGGTAGGAAGAATGCCCTAGTCAAATAGTAATTTTTTTCTTTTTATAAAAAGTAATATATTTTCATATAAATTGTTATATAATTCAAAGCAATATAGTAAAAGTCTACTTCTCATAGGTATTTTTACTATGAGTAATATATATCTTTGTAGGATTTTTCTTCTTTATATAAACATTACAATTTTTTTTAAATAATAGCTAGATCATACTGTACAGACCACAACTTTTTTAAATTTAACCAAATGTCTTGAATATCTTTCTACATCAATAGACATCTTTTTACTACAAAGCATAGTAATCATTGTATAAAATGGCTATAATTTATTTATCCAAACATCTGTTGACATTCTGCTACCAGTTTTTCATCATTAAAACCAATATTGCACCAAACAACATGTATGTTTGTGCTTTAATAAACATAAACATATATACACCCTACACCCCTTTGTGCCCTGATGCTAGTATTTACGTATACATTGCATTGCACATCTATACTTCTGGGTCAAAAAGATATGCACATTTAAAAACGTTCATATTATCAAACTGTTGTTCAAAATAAAATTGCTGATTTATACCATGAGGGCTTTTCTGGGCAGCCACTAAGTATGAGGTGGCAGTAGGAGTGAAGATGGAACCCCCCAGCCCTCAATGATGTAGACCCCTTTATTACTGTAACTTGAGTGGCTCAGCTTGCCTCTGTTTTAAAATTCTGAGCTTCTGCCAAAGATTTATATGAAGAAAGGGTTCTAAGGCGAAAACAAGTTTTGACCACCCCTATTCTAGCAAAGTCTCTGGAACTGGGGAAAATTCAGTGGTAGTGTTTGGGAAATTTCCAAACAGCCCAGATTGGAATGTTTGTTCCCACTTTCAAAATAGATTTCAAAGCAATCCAGGTTAGGAACAGCTTCAAATTCTATTACAGAAAAGAGTCAGTATCATAGTTAAAAATAGTATCATTTATATTCAGTTTGAAGATAGTGATGGTCTCCATAAGGCTTTCCTTCAGTAGTGGATACATACAGGGCTGACTCTAATAGACTTAATGGCAGTGGCAAAAGAAATTAGCAAGTCAGTGTTTGGAAAAGTATCTTTCCTAAGTTATCTTCCCTTTTTTTCAGTGAGGATTTGCAGCAGTATTTCTGTTAGCATTGTCTTTCTCCTACCTTATCCTTCCCCAAATATCTGTTTACTGCTGCTGTTACTGACAAGCCTTTTAGGAACTCAGTCCCACACCCTCAGCAGGTGGGGAGTTAATGCCCTGAGAGCATCCATTGTGACCTAGAATACCTGTCATGTTGCAAGACAGTAATACTCCACTTACCTGACATTCACATATTAAATTCAATTATGAACATAGAGTGGGAAAAATACTAACAAAGCCCAAGCCTTAAAGGTCTTATATTCTTAGAGAAGAAAGCCTTCTAAAATCGTAAATTTTAATCATTTTGGTTTCTCAGCATACATCAACCAAGGCTCTTTAAGTTTTGAGTACTGTATTTTTAACTTGGCCTAGCTTAGACGTAAAGGGGAGTTTACTGGCTTACGTATGAAATTATGAAGAGCAGAGGTACAGCTGCAGCCCAGGGATAATTGGAGTCAACTTTCTCTACATCCTAGATTGGAAACATCGCAACCAGTAGCTCCCTGCTTTGTATCACTCCAGTTCCACCAACCAAGAAAAATTATCTCTCTCCTTAACTTCACAGTCTTATGTTTTACATCTCTCTCCTTAATTTCAATTCAGAAAATCCCAGGGGAGGAATCTGAATGGCCCATCTTGAGTCAGACACCACCTTTGACCCAGATCACTGTTGCCAAGGAAACAAGAGCTGTAAGATAATGGTAGTTGCCATTTAACCTATAGAATTAATGTGGCAGATTCTGTCCTGGGCAGAAGAATAACAAAATAATAAACACAGTACTTAAGATGTACCAGCCGCATGCTCACCTGTGCATGTTATGTATCCAAAGGAAGTGTCCTGGACAGGCCATAGAGGTTAACAAATTTGAAAGCAATTTGGGACTGCACAGCGATAGCAATGAAAAGTAACAGTTGACAACAGAAGTGAAAGAGAAACTTAGAAACCACTGTGTTATGTTTTCTGATTAAGGAATAAAATGCTTTATTGGTAGTATAACACAATTTATCAGCCATTTGGGTTTAGCAAAGAATATAATCACCTAGGTGGGCCCTGGCATAGTAGCTCAGTTGATTAAACACAGGAAATGATCTTATCATTAACAGAGTTTCATTAAGAATGGGATCAAATGAGATTATATAAATTTATACATTAAAATTAGGATAGTTGTACTATGAAAGACTGTTTTTTGTGTCTGTAGTCAAAGAAATTTGCCCTGCAGCTCAGATTCTCTATTGTAAAAGTCATGGCTGTTTAAAAATTACAAAGAAGAAAATTAAAATCATTCATAATTCTACCAATTAGAAGGAATCATTACTGACGTGTTAGTTTTTTATTCTATGAGTATGTGTCATTTTTAATGGCTTTACAATAGGCAGTCTATAGTGTCATAAATTACTTGTTATAGTTAGGTTATTTCCAGTTATTTTCTATGTAAATAATAATGTAATAAATACATTTGTACATGGAGGTGGGGGAGGGAGTCATGACTGTGTAAACAAACTAGAAACTAGGGAGTCCCTAAAAGCCCCCCACAGATTCACCTTCTTAAGGAGAACAGGAAAGTTTTCTGTCCAGAACGATGTAACAAAGAGCAGGTGGTATATTAACTGGTAAAGAAGTCTGATGCTTGCACTGCCATTTCTTCTACCTCACTGAGATTTTTTAAACGGTTTTCAGTCTCTCTCCGCTCCCCTTGCCCCCTCCCTCTATCTTCTTGCTCATCTTCTCTTCCTCTCTCTCTTTGGAGAATGCCTGTACCTTGTCCCTTTTCTTTCCTGAAGGCATGTACTTTTGCTTTCTGCCGAGTCCAAGGGCCCTTCCTTTGCTTCTGTAACTTATTTCTGAGCCCACGTGGCCCAGTTGACTCACTTCTTCTATCTCTGTGACTTTCTAAATAAACGTTTGCTTGTATTTGAAAAAAATTGATTTTCATTAAAATATAATTTTTATTTAGTTTTTAATATAAATATTAATAGTTATGAGAAATTACTTTTAAACATATTGAAAAGGCAAAATTTTCTTCTAATGGATGATATAGGTGAAATAGTTTTTCACTTACTATAAGATCTGAAATTAGAGGTTATAATGCTGTTAATAATGACTTTAAACAGTTTATAGATTCCCACTGACATATGATCTACATTTTTAAATTACTGTCTTCCTTACTGGGTTTAAAATACAGGAAGCTTATAAGAATTGGTATCAATCCTGCCCCCAAAAGATACCCTTTATCTTGAGCTTAACTTTCTAGGGAATGAAAAACCTAAGATTGCACTCATCAGTGAGGCTCGGTGCGGGGGCAGGAGGGGGCACGAGTGTTGGGTGTCAATCCTATAAAGAAAAGTGTTGCCAGTTCAATTCTCAGTCAGGGCACATACCTGGGTTTGGGGCCAGGTCCCTGGTTGGGAGCGTGTGACAGGCAACCCATCAGTTGTTTCTCTCACACATTGATGTTTCTCTTCCTTCCTTCCTTTCCATCTCTCTCAAAATAAATAGAATCTTTAAAAAAAAAAAAAAAAGCAAACCCTAAGACAGAAAATTGGTTGGATTCCCTTTGCGTTTTGTTCATTTAAATTGAAAATGACATTGTTCTGTTTCTCTCTGCAAAATAATCTCAAATGCATGACCTTAATCATGGTTTCTTCTGTTCACAGCCTCAGTGTTTACTTGCCTGGCAATAGCATTGGGATTTTACAGAATCTGGAAATAGTGAAACAACTACACTATGCTCCTGCTGCTGCTGCTATTGATTTCTTAAAACTGCACCACGATTGGTATACCTCGAACACTGAAAGTTGATCAAGACGTAATACAACAAGATTGTTCAAACTACATAGGTACTAAAAAGAAACGTTTCAGAATGAAATGTATTTTATCTTTGTTTTTATGTATTTTATGATGTTGAAAAGCTGCCATTCAAAACCTGATTAATTTGAGACAGAAGGGTCTTTTGTTTGTATTCTTTGATAGTTCGTAGAAACTGAACCAGAGTTTTCTAGTGTTTGCATAAACAATTCTGCAAATCCTACAGGATTTCTTTGGTTCTCTTATGCCTACATATTTTGTTATACAACTTTCCTGATAACTACTGCACTATTGCCTTTTCATATAAAATATAAGACAGTTGTTTGCATTTGAAAAATAACCATATAGCTGCAGATTGTTTGAGGATTATTTTGTAATGAACAATTAAAAACAATAAATTTAAAATCTTAAAATGTGTGTCCTAGTGCAAGCATATGAGACTTAATAGGAAACTTGTAGAGCTGCTAAATCCTGAGCCGTGATTATTACACATATTAATTTTTTGATTCACAAAAACCAGCTTGTCCCTGCTTTATATTAATTACATAAAATAAAGCTTTTTCTCGTGATATTTAAATTCAGTAAACATCTACTGATAAATAATGCCTACTCTCAAGAAACTCATACTTTTGTTTTATTGCTATTGGGTCAACTATATTTTTCCTTATATAATAGTATTAATAGTATACATGTAATTTCAAGGAAAGTAAAAAGACCTTCAATTTTACCCAGATCGAGAAGCCAAAGCCAGGAAGTGCCAAACATTTCAAGATTTCATAATAATGCCTTGGCAATAGCTTTAAAAGTTTGATAACCATTATTTATTCAATATGTTAAAATGAATTAAATTAAAATTCAATATATAACTAAACTCCATCACTGTTTAGTTATAAATAGGGAGTTTAAAGAATAGAGCAGTCAAAGACTAGCCCTTATGGTCTAGTAAGTGTGAATCAGAGGCTTTCCAACTAAATTTTCTTGTAACTGCTGGGTTGTTTTCAAAACAAAACACTATTTTAATATTTTATGTTCTGATTTATTTCTATTTCAGAATTTGCTTGCCTAAGAAAATTCTTGGCACATTGTAGATACATTTTTATTGGACTAATAATAAATATAGACCAAAAGATTCCATTGTAATAAACTTGACAGTGCATTTGTTCACTGAATAAATAAGAATGGCAGACAAAGGTCAACACTATTTTGTTCTTATGGAATTGACAATCTTAGTGGAGAAGATAGTAAACAAGTAAGTAAATGATTGCTGGTTTTTACCATTTAAAGTTTAATAAAATACTGAGAGGGCATACTTCTTTCCTCCACGTGAAAGAAACTCCAGTAGCATAGCACTACTGTCTTCCTCCCCTCACCCACCCTGCCCCAGGTGAAGTAAAGTGAAGGGAGAAACAGGGCCCGAGCAGACACCTCCTCCCCACTCCTGCGAGATCAGGCTCAGCCTCCGCAGGGTGAAGCCTACCCCAGTGCAGTATGCTTGGGGCAGGGTGAATACGTTTGTCCAGTTCTGAGGTTCACTAATAGGGAACTTACTGAAGATATAAACACATTCTCCAGTATCAGCTGTATCAGTATAGAAAGGCACTATTTGGGACTTATCAATTCATTTGTTCTTCATCTTAATAAGGTTCACAACCCAGATGGGAAGGAGGAGTGCCATTTATTGGATCTCCTCAACCCTCAACAAATAATATTCCCAGTTCCATTAATGATAAAATAGATGTTCCATCTTTAAGGATTTAGCAAGGTGCTTTGTATCCCAATAATGGAAGAACAGAAGTATACACACCATACCCAATTCCCATTACTTCTAGATCCTATCTTTTCCAGGGAGACTTTATTTTGGTGTTTCGGAGTTTAGGTAGGTTTTTATTTAAGGAATGTAAATATCTGAAATGAAGAAAAATGAGGATTGTTACACCTGTGTTCAACATTTGCACCCATTATAAAACAGCTATTGTTGTATACACCTGTTTCTTACATTAAACTGAGTTCCCAGAAGCTTACAAGAGGTACTTCATAAATTCATGTGGAGTAAATGATGTGACTAGATCTCAATCTTAATCCAAACTTTTAATATTTTCAATACTTTATTATGGGTATGGTAAGAACATTGCATTTATAGTGTTTCTGAGAGTGTAACCCTTTCTGGCATTTTCTGGGATGGAACAGTAAATCCCTAAGAGGATTAGTTACCCTTACCTTGTACATGGCCTAGACTAGATCCTAACTTGCCCATTCTTACTATTTGGTGACAGTAGACCAGGCAAGATAATGTAAGGACAGTCAAGTCAGTAAAAAACCCTTCACCATACTTGAAAAACAACAACACTTACAATGCCCATTTTATCAGTCTTTAAAAATTGAGATGTGTAACATCTTAAGTTTTAAAGTTTAACTATTTTAAAGTTTTAAGTACTTTTTAATACAAAGAAAAAAACGAGACAGTGGGAAAGGCTATGGCTTGCCAACACTGAAATTAGTGATTGTCATTGTGTAGACTAATGACCATACAACAGTGAATATGCTAAAAGAAATATATATCAACTCACCTAGTTTTCACAGCAGTCCTCTTAGGCAGGTAGTAGTACCTTCATTATACAGCAACAGAAATGAGCTAAGCAAAGTTAACTAACTTCCCAAGGTCACACAGCAGGTAAGTGACATAGACTTAAACTCCAAATCTCATGTTCTTATTCAATACCCTAGTAACATCTAAGTTGAGTCCTCTTTCTCAAGAGATGGACAAACTGCTGACGCATGGGGAAAAAACATCACAGTTCCTACATATATCCTTTTTAACATCTTTTTTACTTTTATGTTTGAGTTTCCTTAGTAGAATGTAGCATAATAAACCTATGAGGGAGGACCAAAAAGAGCCCAGAATATCTTCTGGAGGGCAGGTCCCTTGTAGTACAGGCTTCCCCCACTCGGTGAGTGTTCTAGGAACCCATCTGTATCAGTGTACCAGCTGGCATTGTGAGAGGCTGTGTTTAGCTTCACTGAATTCTTTTTGAAGAGTTGCATCATGTTTGCCTTTTCCATGAGGGGTGATTTATGAGCCCGTACTGTGCTGAGTACTCAGCAGTTTTGGACCAAAAATGGCAAACCCCCATGCCCTACCCTCCCTGTGCACCCCATCTTGCCCACAGCAACTTTTTATTTCCCCAGATGAAAAAAGTCCTCAAAGGGAAACATTTCACAGGTGTGGGACAGATGAAACAAAAAAGAGCACTAAAAGGCATCAACACAAGTTCAACAACTGTTTTGAGCAGTGGAAAAAACATCTCTATAGGTGCATTGCATCAAATGGAGAGTACTTTGAAGATGACTGAAGTTATTTAAATATAAGAATATACCATTTTTATTAATTTTTTATTTAAATTATTTTATTGTTCAGTTTCTCCACACCCCTCCCCCCTTCCCCCTCCAAACCTATCTCCCTCCCTGGCTTCCACCCTCCCCCTTGGTTTTGTCCATGTGTCCTTTATAGTAGTTCGTGAAAACCCTTTTTTATAAATAAATCCTGTTTTTTGAGGGGGTCCTCCCCTTGTATATTTAATTTTTGTCCCCAATTCCGGCACATAGCTCCTAAAATCCTTGGAGACTTCAGAGTGTTTTGTTTGTTTGTTTGTTTTACTGAGATGACTGGTAGCTAGGAGCTGCTACATAGCTTCAGAATAGGGACTGCTTGACAGAAAGACCAAGGCATGATTAGAGAGTTGAAACTTCTAGGTGCCCCCACCCCTACCTAAACCTTTGGGGAGGGGAAAGGAAAGGAGAGGAGCTAGAGATTGAGTGCAACCGTCAATCGCCATCCCAGTGAACACATCGAGGTGCTGGGCAGGGAAAAGACCCAGAGGGCATGGAAGCTCCACGCACCTCTCACCCCATACCTTGCCGCCATGCATCTTCCATTTGGCTGTTCCTGAGATGTATCCTTTTTAATACACTGGTAATAGTAAGTGAAGTGTTATGCTGAGTTCTGGAAGTCATTCTATCAAATTATTGAATCCAAGGAAGGTGATATGGCAACCCCCAGATGAACAGCAATTAGAAGTACCCGTGACAGTCTGGGACTTGCAAATAATGTCTGAAGTGGGAGCAGTTTTGTGAGACTGAGCACGTAACTTGTGGAGTCTGATGCTAAACCCTGGGTAGTTGATGTCCAGATTGAATTGCTAAACACCCAACTGGTATCCAGACAAATCAGAACTGCTTGTTAGTGTTAGGAAATACGACCTTTAACATGATGATAGTATATTTTTGTGATTTATAATCAAAAGCACATAATTTGGGAGCTATATTATGATTTAGACCTAGCTGCTATAATAAATCCAAAATAACAGTGGCTCAAATAACATAGAGGTTTATTTCTCTTACCTGCCACCCAAGTGTAACCATTCCAGGGCTAGTAAGCCAGCTCTGTGTATCAGGGGCCAAGATCCTACTTATCTTATTGCTCTCACTTCCTGCTGTGGCCCTCATCTGCCAGGTGCAGGGCTCACCCCAACATCCACGTTCCAGAAGAAATGGGCAAGAGGTGGGCAAACCCCTTCCCTTTAGAGGCATGACCCTAAAGTTATAAACACCATTTATGCTCACACTCTATTGGCCACAACTTGGTATCTTAGATTGGAGAGAGGCTGCAAGGTTAAGTCCTTATCCTGGGCAGCAATAAGCCCAAGTAAATTCTAATATTGTGGAAAAAGGGAAGGATATTGGGGGACGGCCAGGGAACCTGGGCTACAACAGTGCATACTTCTCTTACAACATTGTTCTATTTCTTATGGTACTCGTACAGAGAAAGATTGGAGATGAAGCCTTAAAAAAACTGGAGCAAGTATAACAGACTATTTCCAAGATTGGTTTTAACTTTAGGGTCATCAGGCTAGAAGGAAAAAGTAAGGCTGTGTCCCAGATGGTGAGAGAAATATGGATTTGGGAACTCTAGTAGTGGTAAAGAAGAACACAGACTGAACTTTCCCTGCTAAGGTGAGAATCCTGACTCCACACTGCTGTGTGATTCTGGGCAAATTATTTTTAACTTCCATGTATAAAATATCTATTGTAGCTGTTGTGAGAATTGAGAGAATATCTGTAAACGACTGGGCACAGATCCCACACATAGTTAAGTACCCAATAAACATTGACAATTATTACTATAATCCATTGAGATCACAGAAAAACTAACAGTAATGACTATAAAAGTTATCAAAAAGGTTTTAATACTACTTAAAGACCCTTGACCAGCTCTGTATTGGTCTTAGCAATCAGGTGCACTCATACCAGGGCATACTGGCCCTGGTGATACTGAGTCCAAATAGCCTTTAGTGGCCATGTAAAGTACATGCCAGGGACTAGACGGTGGGCAGTCTGATGTACGGCAAGAAGTTGCTGCCAGGAAAGCTCAAAGCTACCAATCAGAACTTCAGGGGGAGGCAGGATACAGACAATTGCCCCAGGAGAGAGACAAATGTTCCCTAGGTCACCGAGGAGTGGGGTTGGGTAGGAAAAGTGAGGGAACTTAAGTCAGAACTGAAATGAAACGCCACAGTTGTGGTTTTTTTTTTGGTCAGCAAAGTCAAGGGGGAAAAAAACCAATAAAGCATGTTTTTAGTCTCTGTAATTTGCCTCATCTCTATATCCTTTCTTATAGAGCGTGCAAGACAGAGCAATGTTTGAATTTTAAAGCAGGTTTTATTTAAAATGGGCATTCTTAGTAAGTATACATTACAGTTTTGTTTTTCTCCTTTAGCAAGCACTGTTCTCCATTTTTTGTAAAACTTTCCTGAGTGAAATACTTGGTTGTTATTGTAAAGTTGTCTGTTTCTAAAAGTTACTGGTCTTATGTTGCATTTTTCTTCCAAGTCCAGATGCTTTTTAAAGTCATTTGAAAAGTTTAAAAGTTACAAAATTAATATCTTCCCTAGTAATAGGAAATGGTAGTCTCTAGCAAGTAAAAGAAATATAATTCCATTATGATGCTATGATAGAAATTTCAATAATTTTTAATATCTAAAACAATTTTTAATATCTAGTACTGGATTTCTTTTGAAGTCTAGACACTACCATATTATATTTTAAAGTTTATATGTAAATTACTAATAAATCTAGAATCTTGACTTGCCCACATAAATATAAAAAGGATATATCGGGAGTGGAGTACAACTGAGTCCATGTAATTTTAACAATTCCTTTGATGTTCTGTAACATATTTCTCCCTTCAGATTTGGAGTTACAGTGCATCAGAATATTTTTGAAAGAGTTTACATAGATTAACACCAATTTTTAAAATAAAAGAGAAAAATCAAGCAAGTTTATTTAAAGTTATTTCACTGATTAGTACCTTCTCACAAAAACGCCCCCAGAAGACACTTTTTTCTTCACTTGCCTCTTCTCTTTGCTTGACTCACAAGAAGAGTCATTTTCCTACAAATGAGAAAAGAAAAGAGAACCAAATAAGATTTCTATCCCAGACACATTTTATCTTTCGACATTATCTGTTCCAAAAGAAAAGAAGTAATGATATTTGCAACTCTGGATTACAGTTCTTTTAGGATTTTGTATAAATAAATTCTTAAAACTGAAGAACCAGTGCATCAGATTGTGCTGACTCCCAAGACTGGGCGGCACCCTGAGACGCCACGCAGTACTATTCTCTACCTAAAATGTCCCCGGAATAGAACACCTTGTTGTTCCTGCTTCTAACTTAGACCAGTGATTTTCAACCGGTGCGCCACAAGATTGTTAAAACATGCAATACCTGACTTTAGTCAGGAGCAACTGACTCTTTTCCCTTAGATTGTCAAATAAAAAATGACAACAGCCAACACAATAACCATCAGTGTGGATGAATCAAAATTATACCTATTTTTTGGTCAGATCAGCAAAAAATATTTTTTGGTGTGCCACAGAATTTTAATAATTAGTGTATGTGTGCCATGAGATGAAAAAGGTTGAAAATCGCTGACTTAGACTAATATTTCACAATGGATTGCCAACTGAAATGCACAGTGTCACTATGTCATCTGTATTCTTTGCAAGCCCTGTAGTGCTAGAAATCGTATTTCCTGGCTTCTCCATTCCCTCCTCCTCTGTGTTCACGCAGTGTCCCTCTACTGCTCTTGTCTCATTTTCCACTCTGCCCTCCCACCCACTGTTTCTGAGTATTTTTATCCATCATGTTCTCAGGACCCAACACAGAAGAATCACTTAATAAATGCTATGGGAAGGAGAAAGGCTAGAAACACAGTGGACGCTCACTACATGTTAAATTATCTTTGAGTAGTTCTTTTAGTCAAAAATGCTTGCACCCAGTTAGGCAGGACCAACCTGAGTGCAAGGGCTCCATGAACAGTACAAGGAACCTGTCCAGGGGAGATCCTGTGGCTGGAGTTAGTATTCCCAGGGTGTTCCTGCCCACACCTTTGCTAATGAGGTCCGTCTGCTTAACTCAAGTCGTACTGTACGAGCACAGAAGCTGCCATTGTCCCACCACCACCTGAAAAGACACAACCACATGTCTGTTCCTTCCCCCCATCTCAGCTGCAAACTGGAGAGAGGACTAGATGGAGAATTGGGTAGCCCTCCCTTACAGGTGGCAAGGCACTGGTGAGCATCGGGTAAGTATTGATGGTCTCTTCCCTTGGAAAAGCATACCAACGAGTCTAAAAACAACAACCAACCTTTCACTGGGAGCTGGCATATGGTGCCACTGGATTTCGTAGTTTACATACATAACAAGTGAAGTAGTAGTATTACCAACCTTTTATGGTTTGCCATTCTTAATTAGCAAACATGGCCCAAAGCATTGCACTAAAGACTTACCAAATGATACCAGTTTGGGAGATCTGCCACATATAAAGTTCATGGCACTGAGGCTAATACATAACACGTACTCAGTAACCTGATACAGATGCTGTTACTACGATAGGTTAGATGATGTCACAAAACTTAAATTTCAGTACTGTGGGTAAAGTAAGTACCCAGCTAAACTCAACTACAAGTGATGATGTGCGATCAGAACTGTACAAACTATTGGGTAAAAGAAGGAAGATCACGTGTAGTCAGGAGGATTAAGTCAGGGTTCATAAACAAGATGGTTCCTAGAAGAATCAGAGAAGCAGAGTTGACAGAGAGCCTTCTAAGTATCAAAATAAACAAAGGCTTGGTGGTGGGGCAAGTTCAGAAAATACAGGCTACATGTAGGAGAATAGAAAAAAATACAGCTAGTGATGTTTAATGTGGGCTAAGATAAGACAATATGTGAGAAAGCACTATAACAATAATTATTATCAAAACAAGTTGTGTTATTAAAAAGCTATATAAGTGCATAATACAGATCAAAAAATGATAAGAAGGGGAGATTATAATACTGTAATATTGCTAGACAGGGTTTCTATACAATACTTCCTTTAACATCAGTACAATGCCATAAGGTAGATGTTATCCTCATTTTAAAGATGAGGAAATTGAGATTCAGACGCTTTTGCGGTAGAATATAAGCAGCACCAAGGTTGCAGCTGCCATTAGAGGTCAGTGACGCTGCTCTTATACCAAAACCAGACCACCTAAAGCAGGACTGCACAGCACAGCTGGCCCAGAGTGCGGGGGCCTGGAGTCGGCTCTCTGAAAAGCCAACTCACTGTTGACAGGGAGCGAGGCTTTAAGAAGGATGTGCTAGAGTATGAAACTGAACCCCATTGTGAGATGAGAGCTTCTGGGAATGAAAAGGATACTTTTTAACTAGCTAGAAAACTAAAATTCTCTGAGTAGACAATCATTTTAGAATGACTCAAAAGATGTCAGCTTTGGTGATGTCCAAAGGTCTAGGCAGCTGGACAAGAACAGCGTATGCTCCTGCCCTTGAGGGGGCTGTGCGAGCCAGCAGAGTTCCTGCCTGTGGGCGGGAGGGAACATATTCTGAGCAGAAGTGGTTAGCGTACAAAAAAGTGTGTGTGTGTCTTCAGCCACCACCGCATGGATGCACAGACTGGCCCCTCCATACTAAAGTTTCCCCAGGGGTTCAGGGGGGTACAAGGTGAACACTGCAAAAATGAAGAGAATGGAGTATTTATAATTAATTATATTCCTTGGGAAATTCAAACCCAGGAAAGTGTCTGAATTTGTATATGCAGAGAAATACACACGTTTCTAAATGAACAGAGTATCATCTGAAAGGAGACATACCGAATCATTAACAGTAGCTTCCTCTGGAGGGCAGAACTCAGTATGGAGAGCAGTGTCTGCCCTTTTTAAAAAATATTTCACAAGCAGCACATACGTTATTTAAAAGTGGTTATTTTAAAGAGACTACTGATGAGTGTGTGCAAAATAAAATTTAAAAGTGCCCAGAAGTTTGCATTGTAGGTCAGATCTGGGGTGGCACAGGGTTGGAGCAGAACTAACTCACCCTCGATGACTGAAGAAAACACTTTCCTACGGCAGGAAAATAGGAAATGTACCTGCAACCCTGCACTCTGTCACGTGAGCTGTCCACAGGTGCCACATCACAGCTGGCTTCACTCCCAGAGAGAGCAGGGGTCAAAGTGTCCCCAGTATACCTGCTGCCTGTTCTACTCTGGGACCAGATGGCCTGAAATTCAAGCACCACCAGGATTTCTTGCTGTCACTGTCACTCCACTGTGGAAATACTCTGACTGCTGTCCTGTATGTGTTCTCTGTTTCGATGTTTTTTTTTAAGACTTTGTTTATTTATCTTTAGAGGGGAAGGAAAGGGAGAGAAATATCAATGTATGGTTGCTTCTCATGCGTCCCCTACTGGGAACTGGCCTGCAACCCAGGCATGTGCCCTGATTGGGAATCGAACCTCCATCCTCTGGTTCGCAGGCCAGCGCTCAATCCACTGAGCTACACCAGCCAGGGCTCTGTTTCTGTTTGCATATCAGTTTCTTTTGAGCTTTGTTCTGGATATCTGTCCTTTTCATTTATCACTCTAAGCATTTCTAAATCCTAGAGCTATATTCTGAATTAAAAATTCAAAATTCTAGCCGGGAATTATAAAAAGAGCTAAGGATATGGGATCAATGGTTACTCTGCAAATATTTTTTTTCTTACATGGTACAATAATAAGAATAATAACACTACTGCACATTTATCAACCAGGCTGCTCTTCTAATCAATACACATATGGATGGATATACACAGGGTGGGCAAAAGTAGGTTTGTAATTGTGAATATGCAAAACACTTTAACCTTCTATTATTATTTATTAATTTGTATTTTTCCATATAAATAACTATAAGCCTACTTTTCGCCCACCGCTGTAATGTATATGTGTATATATATAAAGTTTTATCTGTATCTATAGATATACATATATATACATATATACATATATACATATACACATACATATATTCCTTTAATCCTCACGACACTATAGAAAGTATAAATTTACAACTAAGGCATAGAGAAGTTAAATGACTTGTTCAAACCAAAAAGGATTACAGCCAGGACCCAAGTCCAAACAGCCCCAGTCCAAATCTGGTACTTCAGCTACTCCTGTATACTATTTCTTGAGAACCACAAATGTTTTAAGAAGGACACTAACCGCTGTGATAAATTTGGGGACCCGCGTATTTCCCAGGGTCTCCCTAAGCTGATCCACCTCCGCTCGACACTCATCCAGCTGACATTCCAACTGTTCTCTACGCAGGCGTTCGTACTCCAGCTGGCCCTGCAGCTCTTGGATAGTCCTGCCAAAAAAGATGTTGTTTTTCATTAATCTCCAATATGAACTAAACATTACTTTTCATAATAGTGAAAAGCGTCCATGTATTATATTTAAGGCAATTAACAAATAATTGCTTATTTAACAAATATGTATTGAGAGTCCACAATGAACTGGCACTGATCTAGACTTTAGACACTGGGGATACAGCAGTGACCCTAATAGGCCAAATCTGCCCCCCTGGGGCTTGCCTTAGCAGAGGAGGAAGACAGACAGTAAAGAAAATAGGTAAGTAAATATTGTATGCTGGAAGTTGATAAATACTGTGGGAGAAAAAATAAAGCAACAAAGAGTAATATAAAATGTTGCTGAAGAGGGGGTTAACACTTCACACATAGTAGCCAGGGAAAGCCTTACTGAGGTCTTCTGAGGAAAGTTCTAAAGAAATAAGAGAGATAATCAAGTAGACATTTGGTGGAGGAGCATTCCACACAGAGGGGACAGCAAGTCAGAAGTATGCCCGGTGACCTGGAAGAAAACCAGAGGCCAAAGTGGTTGGAAGAGTTTAAGGTATAAAAGGGAGAGTAGCAGGTCAGAGAGGTGAAAGGGGTCCAGAAAACGAAGAGCCTTATAAGGCATAGCAAGGACCTAGGCTTTTACTCTGAGTGAAATGGGAAGCCATTGGAGAACCTCGAGACATGATAGTTAAGAAGCTAGGAAAACTCCCGGGTAAGGATAGGGAAACTGAGACTAGCAAATTAAACAAGGCCAAACAATTTGAACAACATATAGCCAGCTAGCAGATCACAAGACCTTATTTTCCTAAGGACACTTGAGAGCAAATAGCTTATACCTCTCCTCCCTAACCAGAGAATACATAGCTTAAATCGCCCTCATCTGGGAAACAGAGAACAGAGACCCAATTCACACCATTTGTGCCAGCTAAACCCAAGGGCAGATGAAGTAAGAGGAACGAATAAAAACTCAGTGAGAGCCAGACAGACCCAAGATAAAAGTGAAACAGTAAAGCAGACCAAAGAACAACCCCATTCTCCTCCGTGCACTCATTTCGGTGCATCAGCATATAAAACGCTCTGAAAAGCTGAGGAATATCCTGCTGAAACACTCTAAGTTTCTCTCCCACAGAAAAAAGATTTTGAAAAAACCTCAAGACAAAGCATACCCATGCCCCTTCTCAGGCATGAATTTTTACTTCCTCTTAAACTCTAAGGGTCCCCATGAGACTTGCAGCCAGGGGAGACATGGGCAGTGGCAGCTCATCCTGGACTAATCCCCTGAATCAAGGCCACCTTCTCTCTGACTTCTCGGTAAGGCAACAGCAGTACCGTCTCGGCTCACTCATTTCCTGTAAGGACTGTAGGGAGCCAAAGCAGAACACTGCCCAGGCTCTCCTGTTGCTCTGTCTATCCTAAGGCCTGCCTTTGTTTCACTGTCCCCAGCTTCAGTAAACATACTCTCAAAATCACCTGGACTCATGCTGTGAAATCTTTCCTACACAAAGTCAAAAACCCACACACCTCAGGCCAGCCTGAGGCGCACCCTCTGAGGCTGCCCCGCCAGGTAACAGTCTGAACAGAGAAATGGCATGATCCGACTTAGATTTTTGTTTTGTTTGGCTTTGCTGTTTTTTTTCTAATGATATAAAATTTACTTTGCAAGAAATACACAACTACCAAGTGAACCAGTCAATGACTTTTGATTAATGTGTAAACCTTTGTATAGACCACCACTACCAAGATACAGAGTACTTCCCTCACCATAGAAGTTCCCTCATGACCTTCCCAGGCAACCCTCCTCCCACAGGCAACCACATTTCCAGATAGCTATCATGTGACATTACTTCTGCCTATGCCTGTAAATGAAAGTGTACATTATATACTTCTGTATGCCTGGCTTTCCGTCAACAGTATGTGAGACTTACTGGAATTAGGTGTTTTTTTAAATGATTTTATTTATTTATTTTTAGAAAGAAGGGAAGGAAGAGAGAAACAAAGGGAGAGAAACATTGATGTGTGAGAGATACATCAATCATTTTCCTCCCACACACCTGTAACCAGGGACCTGGCCTGCAACCCAGGCATGTGTCCTGACCGGGAATTGAACCCGGACATTTCAGTCTGCAGGACAACATCCAACCTGCTAAACCACATCGGTCAGGGCCAGATTTAGCTTTTAAAATTATTACTCTGTACACTGTGTTGAAAACAGACTGCAGGATATGGGGGTAAAGGATTAGAGGTCAGTGACAGGAAGCTGAGAGACATCAGGAAGATTTTAAAATCAATGCAGGCAAGAGGAGTGAGTGGGGTTAAGACTGAATGCAGAGAAGAATGGCATGTGTGGAAGACTAGGATTCAGCAAAGAAGAGAAGAAACTCACCCCCAGGGTAGAGAACTGCACAATGTTTTGCTGCATCGTGAGTTTGGACTAACTAATGGAGAACAACAAAAAAGAAAAGGACTTCCCTCAAATCAATACTTACCCAGTTTTTCTTTACAATTAGATCTAAGATCAGGAGTTTGTACCCAAATAGTAAATGTCTTAAGATGCCTTCAACACAAAGTTGAGAACAAATTCTGGAAAGAATCAAAACTCAGAAGGAACATCACAGTCTCAGCTGACAGGAAACTATGTTCTGGCACAAAAGCTAAAGCCATCTCCCAAAAAATCCTGTTCAAAATCATTTACATCAATAATATAACCATTTCTCACCGAAAGTGAACATGAGAGTTAAAAGTTCCATTAAAGACTGTTAAAATTGTAATAATCTTAGATAACAGCTTTAGAGTCACATAAACTCAGGCTCAAATTCTGGCTCCATCAAATCCTGGCTCCACCCCACCGCCCCACCCTTTCTTCTCCTCCCTACTTGATATTATGCAAATAATTTAACCTCAATATTAAGTCTCAGTTTCCTAATCCATGTAGTGAGCCCTTGGAGCTGTGAAAATTTCATGAGGTAATGTAAACAGTAGGCTTATCTAGTACCTAGCAGGTGGTAGGTAGTGAAGTAATGCAAGCAGCTATAGCAAAGTAGAGTAACCTGCTTAGAAGAGAAGCCAAGAAAACCAACATTTTAATACTTATTATCTAGGAAAGAATTGCTCCATTGTGAAGTACTTTTCTAGACCACAAGGATCTAAAAACTCTCAGTTAGGCTCTTACACTAAAAATATTCTACATCTCAAAATCCTGTAATCAATATATAGGAAATGAACAACTAATTAAATGGTGTGGTTTGTGAGATATGAAGAAAGACCCTGATTTTTAAAAATTTTCTTTTGGTTTTCCACAGTTTCCTAGTGTTTAAAATCCCACTAATAGTATTTTGGCTTAAAGCTGTGTCTTCTCTTCAAATTCCCAAGTACCCATGGAAGGATAACCCTTATCAAAGATTTGGATATTACTCTGAATATATTTACCAGACCTCTTACTGAGTCTATATTCAGAAGAGGATAGAGGGACAGGAAACAAACGGGAGGTTCTAAGGGTCTGAGTGAAAGAGATCCAACCAAAGGAGAGGGCAGGGAAAGAGGAGAATCCACGTGTACTGCTCTTTATAAAACCGAGTTTTGATTAAATCAAAAGTCTCCTCTCCTGTCTATCTTTGTTCCCTGTCCACTTTGAAAACAGACAGGCAAGCAGAAGGCAGTGGGGGAAACTAGGCATCCTCTACTCCAGCAGCGTTTAATTAGAGAGGCACCAAGTACGCAGAGAGCCAACTCAGGGTGCAGGAAGTCAAGGATGCAACTGCTCACTGCCTCTAGTCTCAGCACAAGCGCATCCTCTGATGCGGCACTACAGTCAGTGGACACAGCAGTGGGCCTGATTCATGAGTAAGCAGTCCAATTTGACAGGGATGGTTAAAAAAATGTGTTGGTTGAAAAGCTTAAAGTAGTTGTAGTCTCAAAACAAATCAACTCTACAAGATGAAAAGAGTTCTGGAGATTGTTTGTGCAAAAATGTGAATGTACTTAACACTACTAAATTGTATACTTAAAAATATTTAAGATGATACACTGTATGTGTATTTTACAATAAAAAAATCTTAACGCTTTCTCCATCTCGGGACATAGGAGGAAAACAGAATAGAATCTTCTACCCTTCGGTGGGGATAAAAAAGAAAACAAGTTGTTGGTCAACAAGCCCTCACATGGCATTTAGAGAGATAACTAGAAACAAACCATTAGAGTTTGGAGGACATTACTTTTCAGATTCCAGTTGTTCTCTCTTCTGCTTTAGATCCTCTTCTGTTATCCCTCCCAAGTGTTTGTAGTTGCTCTCAGCAATTTCCAGGAGATGTCTCAGTTCCACAATTTTCTTATAGGCTCTCACTGCGAGAGAGAGGTCAACAGAAACGCAGTTTAGACAGGTGGTCACAGGGTGCCTGCTCTTCCTCTCACACCAGTGTCTGTGTGGCCTGGGGAAGAGGGAGGAGGGAGGCGGCATACGCATAGAAGGATAAATATCAGTAGTGGAATATTTGGATGAACAAGCAATAAAAAAATCAAACGGAGGATTCTTTTCCTGCTGTTGGAGGATATACCAGATTGTTGCAACTATTAATACTATGAACAAGAAGGTTTAAAGACTAGCAGTATTTTAGGACTAGTGGAATACTGCAGGACCATGCACAATCTATGTCAAAAACTTAGAAAAACTGAAATATGTTGGATTTACTTGAAAACCAATAAGAACTAACCCAGCCCCCAAATTTTATGATTAGTTACACGTAATATCTATGTAAGATGATACTAAGAGAAGGAGGTATGTTGAGAGCTACTTTTAGCTATTCTCCAACTATCAAACCTATGGCTTTTCTATCCTTTGTGGTAGTACTAAACAACCTGGGGTGATTTTCTCCCCCAAGAGACATCTGACAACGCCTGGGTACATTGTTGTTTTGACCTTGATGGATGGAGGGGTCATCAGAAGTAAGAACAGTGTCTGACACATAACTGAGTCCTTAATAAACATGTTTAATGGTAGAAGAAAAATAACTGAAAAAGCACAATATCAGTCATTTCTCTTAATACTACAATGAGTAGGTTCAAAACGTTTTCTGATTTTCAAAAATCAGGGCTATTTGTGGTGCACTGCCTAAAGTCCCTTAATCCAGGGCTGTGCACACAGTAGGTACTCAAATACATGTTAGATCAATGGAACGCCTTCCTTATCTATTTGCCTATCTAAGCCCTGGCTATGCTTTATGGAAAAGTCAAAATTCCGCTTGTGCAAGCCCTTCTCTGCTACACTATAGTTCTGAGCGAAGAGACCTTTTAAACTCACTATCTAGTAGCACAGGCCAAGAACTAAGAGTCAGCCTTGATTACTCTCATTTTCTAACACCTCATATTCCAATCTATCGGCAAACCCCATTGGCTCTCTGTTCTAAATACACCCAAATCTGATCATTTCTCACCATTTCCATCATTCTCAGCCTAGTCCAAACCATGATCACCTCTCTCCTGAACTAAGCTCACAGCCCCCTGATTTCCCTGCTTCTACTTTTGCTGTGTAAAGGAAAATGGGCTTTCCACAACACTGGAAATTTAGAGGCAAAAACAGTCAAGGCCAACTGGACCCTGATTCGGCTTTCTCCACCACCTCCCTCCAGATAAATATGGTCTTACCAATGCTGAGTTTGGATCAAGAACAAAGAAAGCCTGATGGACCATATCTTGCCATGTATAATGCACACCCATGTTTTTGGACCAAATTTTCAGAAAAAAAATCTTTTATTTTAATTTTTTAATTCCATTATTTATTTAGCTATACTTGTTTATTATAAAGGTATTTTAGCATTTAGTTTTGAATATATTGTGGTACAAGAAATTTTACATAACAAATGATTATGAAACACAAGAACAGATATAAGGTATTTTGGGTATTACTCATGTATAATGCACATCCTTATTTTGCCCTCAAGAACTTGGGGGAAAATGCATATTATACACGAGAAAATATGGGTATATAAATATTACCTCAAAGGAAAATAAACAGATGTTTACGTAAGCTCTTCTGGAATGGTGGTAAAAGCATTTCATACGCAAGGCTGAAGCAAAACAACAATGGAGATTTCCAGCATCATGGTAGTTGCAGGCCTACACCAGGGACTCTAGGAGCCCAGGAACTCTGTGCAGATGTTCTGCACCTTCTCTTGTACAATTCTAATTTGGTATTCTTGCTAAATTTAAATTATATCAGGAACTTCCTCTAACCCTGCATTAGCAGGTGAGTGTGTTCTCTTCCCACCGATTCAAAACACATCTGAAATGCTATGCTCCCTCCCATCTCCCAGTCTATTTTCCAACCAACTTCTAGAGTGATGTTATTTTTTTAAGATTTTACTTACTCATTTTTAGAGAGAGGAGAAGGGAGTGAGAAAGAAGACAGAAAAATCAATGTGTGAAACATTGAGTGGTTGCTTCTTGCATCTGTCTCGATCTGGGGAACAGACCTGCAACCCAGGAATGTGCCCTGACCAATAATCAAACCGGCAACCTTTTGCTTTGCAGAACAACACTCAACAACCTGAGCCACACTGGTCAGGGCTAGAGTGATGTTATTTTTAAACATAAATCGGATCACACCGTCCCCACCTCAAACCCACCAATGAAATCTAAACATAAAATCCTTATTAGGCTCTATTTGATCTCATTGAGTCCCTGCTTGTCCAGTCACTGAGCTCGATTCTACCTCATAGTGTTCCTCTGGCTTGAAACGGTCTCCTGAGATCTTCATGTGGCTCACCCTCATCGGTTAGGTCTCTTCTCAAATGTCACCCCCTTAAGAGAGGACTCCTCTAATGGTTATCTTATCTACAGCACCGCCCCACTTTATTTTATTAGGTACCTATTTTTTTTATTAATTATCTGACACCACCACCACCACCGGAATGTAAATTCTTGGTGGTAAGGAGGGGATTTTGCAGTTCACTGTTTCACCAATACCTGTAACAGTATCTGGCACATAGTAGACAATAAATATTTGCTGCCATTATTATCTGTAAAAATCATTTGCCAACTAACAAGGGAAATTCTTGAGATGTTTCTTCCTGTTTCCTATGATCCACTTAAATGTTACCTTTCATATACCTTTTCCCTCCTTGAGGGAAAGAGATCATGTCTTACATTTTCAAATGTTCGATATCCCATAGCACAAAAATTATTCTAGTTCTGGTTCCCTTCCAAAATCAAAGTATTTTACTTCGTAGATGGTAAATGTCTTCAGGATAACTTCCAAATTTGTGGTAAAAAAATGGCTATCACATTTCTTAAAGAATAAATCACAACAGAGTTGGCACACTTACTTCTGGCATCTGTTTTATCCGACTCATTAAGACATAAATCATCCTTGGCATCAGTGCTGCCCTCAACACCATGTCTCATAAAAAATTTTGTATCATTTTCATCAATTTCATCCTCATCATCTACATCATATTTCTGTAGCCCCTCTAACAGCTTTACTGCTGCTAAATGGGCAAACCTGTATAAAAGAATCAACAATTAACAAGAAGCACAATTTTCAAATTGAAACTACAGTTTGAACTTAATTTAGGGAATTACACTCTGTACATTATGCTGCCAACCTACCCATCAGTAAAGGAGCAAAAGTGTATCTGAAGATCAGGGCCAATCTGATGTTAGCTACGTGGGAAACTCAAACAGTCACTGGACACTAAGGGCAAGCAGTCACAATAAAGACAGATTCTGTAACTTTCACTAGCAAAAACCCAACTGGGAGAGGAGACCCAAACAGATTGGCTAAATTGGACAGAAAGCCCCAGACCACCCTACTTGATCACCTGCATTTACTATCTGTTTCTGATGACCTAGTTTAGACTGTGGAATTACTTCTGGTTCCAGTTTTATGGCTAACTATAGGTCTAGCCCCCTTAGTCTTTATCCTTCCTCAATGCAAAGCACTTGGCATGGCTCTAAATTTAATGGGAAAATAATGACTGTTCCCATCTGTATTGTCTATTTTCTTTGATCTTTCCCACATTGCTATGAATATTCTAGTAATATACCCTTGGTTTGGGAGTGGTTGTAAATGCATGTGATCTGCATATTTTTTCTATAGTTTTGCTAACTGAGATGTTTAACGTTTTCTCCTAGGACATAGAGAGTTACTCGCTAAACACAAAAATCTCAAATTCTATTTTTTGATACACTTACACAGCCACAGTTTCCATTGCTGGTGGGAATGCAAGTTGCTACAATCACTTTGGAAGGCACTTTGGCAGTTTCTTGTAAAGTTAAATATACCCATAGCATATGACCCAGCAATACTACCCCTAAGAATTTACCAAAGTGAACTGAAAATTTATATTCACACAAAAGCCTGTGTGTGAATATTTACAGCAGCTTTATTCATAATCACAAAAAAATGGATAGAGTCAAGATCTCCTTCAACAGGTCTACTCCATTGGAATTCTATATCCAATTGAATACTATGCAGCAATAAGAAAGAAATGAACTATAATATATATGAATTCTCAAAATAATTATACCGAGTGAAAGAAGCCAGATATATAAGAGTACAGACTGTATGGTTCCATTCATATAAAACTCTAGAAATGCAAACTGATCCATAGTGATAAAAAGCAGGTCAGTGTTTGCTTGGGGGAGCCAGCAGTGAGGAGAGAGATTACAAAAGAGCACAAGAAGACTGTGGGGGTTCATGAATACATTCACTATCTTGGTTGTGATGGTTTCATGGATATACATCAGAATGTATTAATTTGTACTGTACAAGTATGTATACTTTACTGTATGCCCATTATACCTTGATAAAGCTGTTTATAAAAATAAAGTGGGCTCAGTTAAATATGAACCTAGATACAATGAAACTACACTCCGAAGTTTCAAAGAAAGTCCACAGACAAAATTTTAAGAAACATGAACTCACAAACAAAAATTGCATGTCAATTTAATGAATGATTGGATCCTGCATCCTTTCAAGACTCATTTGCATCTGTTAGACTACATTCCTACTTTATTGCTTTTAATTTATTGATTTTAGAGAGACAGATTGATTTGTTGTTCCACTTATTTATGCATTCATTGGTCCATTCTTGTATGTGCCCTGACTGGGGATCGAACCTGCAACCTTGGCATATCAGCGTGATGCTCCAACGAACTGAGGTACCTGGCCAGGGTACACACTCCTACTTTAGATTCAAGCAGTGTTGAACCCACATGCAGTTCCTCAAACACTCAAGTGTTTTCTTACAGCTCTTTCTCCTTCAAGTGTCAGCATAAGTGTTGCTTTCTCCAAAAAAAAAAAATAGTTTTCCTTGACCTCTATATAAATTCTGTACTCCTACAGTTTCCTTCATAACACTTAACATCATCTGTATTAATATTTCTCCCCCACAACTTTCAAATGGGAAGCCTTGGGCAAGTCTCCTATGTTCTTACTATACCTTATATAGAATGTAATATGATACAATGATTATAATCAGTAGTTTATAAAAAATAAGGATTACAATTAACGATTATTACAATAATTAAAATTTATCTCTCCACAAGACTCTAAGCTCCTATGATGGCAAGAACTGTTTTTTCATCTTTGTAATCCTAACACTAACTATAGCACTTGAAACATGATACATATAATAAAGTAGAATTTGTAAAAGCCAACCAAATAAACAAAAGAATGAGCCTGACCTGACCTGAATGAGCTGGAGGCATTTGATAATAGGTGTTATATTTAATCCAACTGTAAATTCCAAATTTGGTTCAAAAGCCACATGGCTCCTTTTGATTACCCCTTTTTAGCACACAGTATTTCTCAACAGGTGCAAGCATTTGGGTGGAATTATTCTGTGCTGTGCACCACCATTCTGAGTACTGTAGAACATGTAGTGTTTACCCATTCCTGGACCTGACCTCACTAAATATTAATGACGGTCACTAGTAGCTGTGACAAACCCCTACATATTTCCAAATGCTCCTCCCCCCAGGAAGAGGACAATACCATCCACAGATGAAAATCACAGCTTTAGAGAAAAGCGATGATAGACTGTCAAATGTCTATTCAGCTTGAATATTGTCATTCCATCAGTATTTGAGTCCTATAATCCATTAAATCTTCAGAAATTTCTGAGCATATGAGAGTATATGCAAAACCTTAAAAACAAATCAAAAAAGGAACAAAAGAGATAAGGATACCTCTTAGCCACATCACTGGGTTTCTCCCCTGCTTTGTTGGTAATATCTCTGTCTGCTCCCATTTTAATTATCCACTGCAAACACTCTATGTGGCCTTGTCCAGCAGCTGTAAAAAAAAACAAACCACAAAAAAGAAAATACACACAAAAAAGTGATTGTTATTAGTAGCAATTTTCCAAAATTTTGAATAGTACCATTAGAGAGTACTTTCATAAATACTGATCCTTGCAATAACCAATGAAAGTAAGTTGGGTAGATTTAATATTCTCTATATCATTTATTCATTCATTAAACAAACATTTAGTCAAGTATGTACTGTATTCATCCCACAGAGTACATAAACTACACAGAGAAGTTTATGTTATAAAAGGTAAAACTCAAAGAGGTTATTTAGTTAACATCACACAGGTAGTAAGAGATTTGAAACTATAATCTAGTTTTTTTCTAATACTTGTCCAGTGCTCACCGGCTGCTATTTATATAGCTGCTGATCAATCTTACATCGCCCAGAATGAGAATGCAATCTAGCCACAGAGACTCACACTGACTTTGAAAATCCTGTGCCATGTTATATTCATAGCTCATTCCTCTGACCCTCACAACTCAAAATTTACATGTCCCTCACTGATTATCTAAACTGTTTACCACCTATTTCTAAATCTTGTCCTCAAAACACATGCACTCAATATTAATTTTCACCTCCACAACTCTGCTGAGGTGCCTTCTTACCTAGTGCCCACTACTCTACTATGAACTTATCTAACTTCTACCCATCCTTCTAGGTCCATCTCAAGACTCAGGAAAACTGGCAAAAAAAACTTCATAGACTTAAAAGATCTGAATTTAAGTCTACTAAACAATCATATTGGAGGACAGAACAAAATTTACCAAGTGGCTGGCATATACAGACCTGTAATAATGTTTACAGAATTGAGGAGTGAATGAATGAAAAAAAAATTAATGAAATCTCAGCTCTGCTCTTACCAGCTGAATAATCTCAGTCAAAGAACCTGGTTCTACCCTGGCTAAGTGGCTCAGTTGATTGGAGCGCCCTCCCATATACCAAAAGGTTGCAGGTTCGATCTCTAGTCAGAGCACATACCTATTGAAGGTTGCAGGTTCAACACCTAGTCAGGGCATGTATGGGAAGCAACCAACCGATGTGTTCTGTCTTGCAGCCATTTCTCTTCTCCTTCTCTCTCTCTCCCCTCCCTCCCCCTTTCCCTCAGTAAAAAATCAATTTTAAGAAACAAGCACATTCTCAGGCAAGGATTAAAAAAAAAATAGTTCTTCTGGACCTCAATTTCCTCATCTTTTACAGAGATAATTTCATATTTATAAAGCAGCAGTGACTTACATTACTGCTTTATGAAACTACAATAAGGATTAAGCATGACAGTTTTGCGCAGTATTAAATATCATATAGCCCTGGCTGGTGTAGCTCAGTGGATTGAGCACAGGCCTGTGAACCAAAGGATCATGGTTCGATTCCCAGTCAGGGCACATGCCTGGGTTGCAGGCCAGTTCGCAGCAGGGGATGCACGAGAGGCAACCACACATTGATGTTTCTCTCCCTCTCTCCTTCCCTTCCCTTGCCCTCTAAAGATAAATAAATAAAATCTTTTAAAAATATATATATATCATATAAACATAAGGTATTATTTCTGAATTTAGATACGTATCTGAATTCCCCTGAACACTTTCCTCAACAATTTAACCCTTAGTGATTTCTGTTCAATTTCTACTCCTAAATTCCTATTTCATGTACTGGGCTGGCCAAAAAGTTCATTTTCTTTTTCCCGTAAGACAGCTCTACAGCACTTAGTTGTCTTTAACTTCATTCGAAACAATTTTGTTAGACTGCATTATGACAGCTGTCATATAAGTGTGCATTTTTTAAAAAACATCAAAATTGGTGAATTTTGTTTAGCCATTTTAATACTGAAGATTGAATAAAATATGCAACATTTCAGGCATATTATGCTTTATTATTTCAAGAAAGTTAAAAACACCACTGAAATGCAAAAAAAGATTTGTGCAGTGCATGGAGAAGGTGCTGTGACTGATCAAATGTGTCAAAAGTGGTCTGCAAAGTTTTGTGCTGGTGATTTCTCATTGGACGATTCTCCACAGTCAGGTAGAACAATTGAAGTTGCCAGCAATCAAATTGAGACATTAACTGAGAAGAATCGACATTATACCATGTGGGACATAGCTAACATATTTAAATCAATAAAGTTATTGGTGAAAATTAAAAATGTGTATTTTATTTTATGGAAAAAAAATCATATGGACTTTTTGGCCAACCAGATATTTTAACAACCAAATCCTTTTTGCCATTTAGTACATACTGACTTATACAAATCTTGAGTTATTCGTGGTGTAAGTATGTAACTCCTTAACAGTAAGGCCTGGATCTCATGCTGTGTCCATGGTGCGGGCACATGTTTGGTGCTGAATATATATGTGCCTCTGTAAAATAAATCAGAGTATGAACTTGAAATGAAATGAAAAGGGAATCAACCATATGGGAAAACATATTTGCCAACAATACCTCGGATAAGGGTTTGATCTCCAAAATATATAAAGAACTCATGACTCAATGACAGGAAGACAATCCAATTAAAAAATGGGCAAAGGAACTGAACAGACACTTCTCCAAGGAAGATATACAGTAGGTCCAGAGACACATGAAAGGATGCTCAACATCACTAGCCATCAGAGAGATACAATTTAAAACCACAGTGAGATACCACCTCACAAAGGTCAGAATGGCCATCAACAAATCAACAAACAACACGTATTGGCAAAGATGTGCAGAAAAGGGAACCCTAGTACACTGTTGGTGGAAATGCAGACTGGTCCAGCCACTCTGGAAAACAGTAAGGAAGTTCTTCAAAAAACTAAAAATGGAATTGCGTTTTGATCCAGCAATTCCACTGCTGGGATTATACCCTAAGAATCTTGAAACACCAATTTAAAAGAACCTATCCACTCCAATGTTCACAACAGTGGTATTTACAGTAGGCAAGTGCTGGAAACAGCCTAAGTGTCCATCAGTAAATGAGTGGATCAAAAAACTGTATTACATATATACAGCAAAATACTATGCAGCAGAAAGAAATAAGGAACTCTTACCCTTCATGACAGCATGGATGGAACTGAAGAGTACTATGCTAAGTGAAATAAGTCACACTGTAAAAGACAAATACCATGTGACCTCACCTATAAGTGGAACCTAATGACCCAAACACACAAATGAGCAAAATTGAACCAGAGGCATGGAAACAAGGAACAGACTGACAGGGACCACAGGGGAGAGGGGAGGAGGATTAAGAGAGGAAAGAAGGGGAAGACCGTAGTTAAAGAACAAGTATCTATGACCCATGAACATGGACAACAGGATGAGGATTGACTGTGGGAGTCGGGGTGAGAGGTGGTGGCCAGGGTAGGGGAGAGCAACAGGGGGAAATTGGGTCAACTGTAATAGAACAATAAAAAAATGAAAAAAATAAAAATAAAATAATTTTAAAAACCAATATTCTATGCACATTTCCAGTCTCCACTCCATGTACAAATCCTGTAGTAAAAAGCTTTAATGCCTAGCCGGCTAGCAGTAATCGGTGAAGCAAAATCCTGCAAGTATAGAGTAGTGTTTACCAAAGTGAGGACCTCTCTATGTATGAAAGAAACCCCCTTCATTTCCCCTTCTTCCCACTCCAACCACCCTTTCTCCTATAAAACTACTGATCCATATGGTGCTTATGGTGCTTAAGATTCTTAAAATATATTATGAATTAAACAAACTTTAATGATTAAGTTAAGAACCTAACCAACAGAAACATAATCTGTGACTGGTTGTAACATAATCAAAGTTATTTATGAAATACAGTCCAATTCAAACACATGAAGATTTTTATAAGAATTACCAGCTATCAGATTATTTAAAAACATATCACAAATGAAGCAAATGGAAATTTCAAGTGCAGTAGGTTAAAGATTTGGGTTTTGATTTCATAAATAAAAGAAAGGTTGGCAAGGATAAATCCTAGAGATATACTCCTGACACTGAGTTGACAATTTGACAAAGTCTGATTAAAAAGCAAAAAAAAAAACCTAATTTATATTTTAGAATTCCACATAGAAGGAATCTTTTTCAAGATCTTTTTCTAGATTTTTTTCAAGATATATGGTTTCTGTTTTAGCATGAGTAGGTCATTTTTAGTCAAAGAAAATGTTAGTGCTAAGAAACTTCTCTCTCAATGAATTTCACATCTTAACCATGACAATATAAAAAGAGAATTTTTGTTAGAATTACCCTCAAATGTCATAATGTGTGAATGTCTGACATCATAAAAGAAATATCACACTGAATTAAAAATTAAGTACTGTCTATACATTTTCATGTGTTTCTGATGTATAATTATTTAAAAAAGTAAATAATAGCAATTGTGTCAGAATTGAAAATTAAGCAGGAATCGTAACTCACCTTTATGCATAAGAGTTGATCCATTATTATCACGTTCATTAATATTAATTACTCCATCTTCTATTAATTTTTTAAGCATTTCCAAATCACCCTTAAAGGCAGCCATATGACCTGGAAATGCTAAACCTATGAACAAAAAATTCAGCATTTCAGTAAATACGAGTTATTCTTGTTTCCTGCCTTGAGCAGTCACGCTTTCAGATTTCAGTATTAACTGAAGTATGAGAATGTTATATCAGAATTAGTTCAGTCGATGCAATGACAAGTATTAAAAGGAGAACCATAAAAGACTATTATTAATTGTGTAGCCCTCAGGACCTCAAACATGCTAGGAGTAGTAGTACGCCAGAACTATTCTTAGCCATATTCACTTCTACCCATGTTCTACCACGAAACACAAGGTGATGGTCATTTTCAACCCTTTGCAAAAGGACGTATTTGGTCTAAGTCTTATATTTGCACAAATCACTCTTTTCTTGTGTTTGCAAGGAAGCAAAGAAAGCAAAAAAACTAAAAGCAGGTAAAGCACATGTATGTATACATATACAAATACGTGTATAAATACATATAAATGCAACATATACATGAGTAAATATAACCTGACCTAGTGCCTAGCACATAGTAAATACTTGATAAAATGTTGCTAATAACTACATATACTGAGCCCTTACTGAATGCCACAGTTGTAAACAATTCTAAGGAATGCCTCATTCAACCCTTTTAATTCTGAGATACAACTATTCTCATTTTTATATAGTAAGGGAAAAACCTAAAACAGCCAAAGACTATTTAAAAAGAACAAAGCTGGAGACTTAACACTACCTGATTCTACATCTTACTATAAAGCTATACAGTAATCAAGACAGTGTAGTAGTGGTAAGTAAAAAGGCATATCAATAAGACAGAATGCAAAGGCCAGAAAAACACCTATACGTATATGGTGACTGATTTTTGGCAAAGCTGCTGAGAATTTTCAACAGGGAAAAGGAAGGCTTTCCAAAATATGGTGCCAGGACAAATGGCTGTATTTTTTTAAATTAAAACCAACACTTTATTTCACTCAATACATAAAATTTAACTTGGTGTAGGTCAAAAATATGATTTATAAAGCTAAACTGTAAAGCATAGGAGAATATCTTGCTGACCTTGGAGTGGGCAAATATTTCATAGACAGGACACAAAAACATGACCTGTGAAAAAATTGATACAGTGTACTTTATAAAAATTTACAATAAAACTCCTGCTCTTTGAAAGACCCTACTAAAAAAATAGGCAAGCTTCAGAATGGGAGAAAATATTTGCAATACGCATATCTACCAAAACATAAAGAAGTGTCAAAATTCAATAATTAGTAGACAAGCAACCCAATAAAAATATGGGCAAAAGAACTGAATGGACACTTTACCATAAAGAACATATGTGAATGACCACATGAAAGATGCTCAATATTATTAGTTATTGGGAAAATGTAGATTAAAACCACAATAATATAATACTACACGTACATTAGAACAGCTAAAATAAAACACTGACTATATCAAATGTTGGAAATTCCATGGAGCAAACAGAATTCTCACGCATATCTCGTGGGGATGTAAATTACACAATTACTTTGGAAGGCAGTTGGAAACTTCTTGATGTTAAGTATACATCTACCATATGCCCCCCTCCTATGTATTTACCAAGAGAAACACAAACACATGTCTAAGTAAATGTGCAGAGATGCTTTCTTTGTTAATGGCCTCAAACTGGAAACAATCTAAGTATTCATCAGCAGATGAATGGTAAAAAAATATATATATATGGTACATCCATATAGTGGAATACTATTCAGCAATAAAAAAGGATGAACTACTAATATACATAACACAGATGAAACTCAAAACGGTTCCATTTAAAAATTCAAACTAGCTCTGGCCAGGTAACTCAGGTGGTTAGAGTGTTGTCCTGATACACCAAAGTTGTGGGTTCAATCTCCAGTTGGGGCGCATACAAAAAGCAGCCAATGAATGCATAAATAAGTGGAACAACAAATCAGTATCATTCTCTCACTCTCTCTCTTTCTCTCTCTCTCTCTATCTCTCCCTTTTTCTCCACTCAGCCCCCACCATCTCATTAAAATCAATAACTAAAATTTTAAAAAACTTCAAACTAATCTTTAGCAGCCATTTTTAACTGGTGTGGTACTAGAATTTTTCAAACATACAATACCTGACTATTTAGTCAGGGACACTGACCTCTCTTCCCTTAGATTGTCAAATAAAAAAATTACAACAGCCAATAACACAACAATAACTGTCCAGTGTTAATGAATCAAAATTATACCTATTTCCTTTGTCAAACTGACAAAAAATGTCTCCTTCGGTTGTGCTGCATTTTAGCAGCTTACATGTGCCATGAGATGAAAAAGGTTGAAAATCACTCATCTACAGTGAGAGAAAATAAATCAGCAGCTATGGGGCCATGGTCAAAGGAGGAATGAACTTCAAGAGGGAATGAAGAAACTCTTGAGGTGATGAGAATGTTTTGTATCTTCCCATCTGTAGTTCAATGAGTGTACACAACTGTAAAAACTCATTGAATTGCATACTTTAAATGAATCCAGTTTATTGCATATAAATAACACATTCATAAAGTTGATTTTTTAAAAGCAAGCCACACTTTGCTTTGATAAGGATGGTATCCCTATCATCAAAGTGAAAAAACAAGCCACAATGTGAGAAAATACATCTATATCAGATAAAATTAATAAAGGATCAGTACTGAGACTATAGAAAGAACTCAAAGTATTTAGAAAAGGACAAAGAACACAATTTTTTAAAAGGGAGAAAGGTTTACGCAGGTAATTCATAGAAAACTAAAATAGCCAATAACTTCACAAAAAGATGTTTAACATCACTAAAAGTCAGAAAACACAAATGTAAACACAAATTACACCTATTCATACCCTATCAATTGGCAAAAATTTTTAAGTATGGCAACACTGAATATTGTTTCTCTAAACTCTTAGCAGACATAGATGGTAAGAGTGTAAATTCTAAACCACACTGATGAAGACTGCGGCAACAGCTATTTATACTGAAGATGGCCTATCCCACAGAGCAAACCTAAACTAGACTTTCCCAAGTATTTACCAAGGCAGAGCTCTTAACTCCTAGTCTTCAGAGAAAACAGGCAGTACCTCAAAAATCCTCCTCCAGTGCTCCCAGTGTGCCATACAAATATCATTTTCTGTGTGCGCTACGTGTGAAAAAGGTTAAGGAAGCATTACTCCAAAGAATCTCTTGTACATGCACATAAAAGGGAAGACGGACAAGAATATTCACTATGCCCCAGCCAGTGCAGCTCAGTGGATTGAGCACAGGCCACTTCAATTCCCAGTCAGGGCACATGTCTGTCTGGGCTGTAGGCCAGGTCCCCAGTGGGGGACACACAAGAGGCAACCACACATTGATGTTTCTCTCCCTCTCTCCTTTCCTTCCCCTCTCTCTAGAAATAAATAAATAAAATCTTTTTTAAAAGTATGTTCATTACCATATCGATTGTAATAGTGAAAAACTGTAAAAATGGAAATAGCAAAAAATGTAAATGGCAACTGGAGAATGGATAAATAATGGTTTGCATAAAATATAATATTATACTATCACTTAAAAGAATTATGAAACATCTACCAGCCTAATCTCAAAAATATGTCATAGAATGTAAGTCACAGAAGGAAACATACTCTTCTTTATGCCATTTTTATAAAGTTTGAAAAGAAGTTTCAAAAACTTCTAGTTTTCTACTAAAATCCCTTTCCTTCATCAGTAACCAAATGAGGCTTCTCAGCTAGCTGGTGAATTTTTCAGGCTTCCTTGTACCTACATATGGCCATGTAATAAAACTCTTGCCAATGGAAAGTTAGCAAAAGTAATGAGTGCAAATTAGACCTTGAAAATCGGTAGTCCTGTGCATATACTCTTGTTCCCTTCCCACCTCCTGCTGGATTAGCGACAACTACAGAGAATTAGTTGAGAAGATAACAGGTCCCTGGTGACTGAATAGAACAGATTTACTCTCCAACCCAAGCTGTCATATAAAAGAAATAAACTTCTGTATCATTTAAACCACTGAATGTTAGGACTTTTTAGTTATAGCAGTTTGGTCACTTACTCTCAAATTACACAAAACAATACTGCATATTTTTGTGGGTACATAGATACTAAATGTAAAACCACAGAATGGAATTACAAATGCAAAACATCCTCTGAGGAGGAAAAAATGGAACTGATGGTACTAGGTAAGAGAGATCCAAAAGATTCAACTGTATCTATAATATTTTATTCTTAAATCCAATGGTATAAAGATTGTTAATTACATTAATCTACATATATTTCTGCCTAAACCACTTCACAGTGAAGACAAGAGCCAGAGTAAATATATGGACAATGATATGTAACATTTTAACATAACCTTGAGCTTACAACTTCTTCTCCTTTTCATTTATTCTACATATTAAATGCTAAAACATTTCAAGTTTTTTACTTACTTTCCTGATCTTCTGGATCATTTCCTTCATACTCAGCCCCCTGGATAAACTGTAAAATGTTCTGCTTATAGAACCTCTGGGCCAGATCCAGTACATTTTCTCCGTTATCATTGAATGCTTTTAAAGCTTGCGTTGCACTGCTCATTCTACTGAGTAGAAACTTAAAACAGTGAAGGTGGCCTTCCATGGCTGCTAAGTGAACTATAAGTGAGAGAAATAAAGAGAATTTCATTTTTGAATTGATAATAATCATAAAAAAAGAAACAACACGTTGGCTCTAACCCTCGTAGGGAGGAGACTATCCCACCCTCTATATAACAGAGACAGACTCTGAGCAAGGACAGCAGAACTTTCCCAGCCTCCATATCCTTATCAGCCTTCTAGTCACAACAACGCAATACTTACTGGACATGTGGAAAGGCCAGATGAGGGTCACCAAATAGGTGGCCACAGAAAATTTTCTTGGAAAGTGAAATCCCAGTTATACAGCTTACCCTTACATGAGAAAATGCTTGCAATGTAAGACAGATAGATGACAAATTTGAATATTTTTTCAAAAAAGGGGGAAGAGCCCTGGCTGGTGTAGCTTGGTGGATGGAGCACAGGCCTGTGAACCAAAAAGTCATGGTTCGAGTCCCAGTCAGGGCACATGCCTGGGTTGCGGGCCAGGTCTCCAGTAGGGGACATTCCAGAGATAGCCACGCACTGATGTTTCCCTCCCTCTCTCTAAAAATAAATAAATAAAATCTTTAAAATAAATAAATTAAAATAAAATAAAATACATAATACACTGAAAGGAATAAACAGTAGGTTAGATAAAGCAGAGGATCACATTAGTAATTTAGAAGACAAGGTAGAAAAAAACACCCAGGCAGAGCAGCAAAAAGAAAAAAGAATTTTTAGAAATGATACAAAATAGAAAGGGGGAGATTAAGAATAGTATAGGAAATGTAGAAGCCAAAACTTACAGACCTAGACATGAACTAAGGTGTAGGGTGGGAATGTGGACAGGAGGGAGTGTGCAGGACAGAAGGGAATAAAAGGGGGGAAATGGGACAACTATAATAGCATAATGTATAAAATATATTTCAAAAAAGAAAAATAAGAAAATTAAAATGACGAGAGCTTAAGAAATATTTTGGACAACATGAAGCGTAACATCTGCACCATGGGAATACCAGTAGGAGAAGAGAGCCAGCAAGGGATCGAGAACCTATTTGAAGAAGTAATGACCAAAAACTTCCCTAATCTGGTGAAGGAAAAAAGGACACACAAGTCCAGGAAGCTCACAGAGTCCCAAATAAGTTCGACGTAAAGAGGCCTATGTTGAGACACAACATAATTAAAATGACAAGGCTTAAAGACAAGGAGAGAATTCTAAAAGCCACAAGAGAAAAGCAGGTAGTTACATATAAACGAGCATCAATTAGACTGTCATCTGATTTCTCAACAGACACATTTCAGGCCAGCAGGGAATAGTGTGAAATATTCAAGGTGATGAAAATCAAGAACCTACAACCAAGGCTACTTTGCCCAGCAAGGCTATCATTTAAAATCAAAGGAGAAATAAGGAGTTTCCCAGACAAAAAAAAGCTAAAGGAATTTGTTAACATCAAACCACTCTGCAACAAATATTAAAGGGCTTGCTTTAAGAACAAGAAGAAAAAGAGAAAAGAAAAAAAACACAGGAAAATGGTCTAATCATAAAATGGCACTAAATACATATCTATCATTAATCACCTTACATGTAAATGGCTTAAATGCTCCAACCAATAGACATAGAGTAGATGTATGGATAAGAGAACAAGATCCATATATATGCTGCCTCCAGAAAACCCATCTCCGATGTAAAGATACACACACACTAAAAGTAAAGGGATAGAAAAAGATTATTTCATGCAAATGTTAAGGAAGAAAAAAGCTGGGGCAGCAGTACTTATACCCAACAAAACAGACTTTAAAATCAAGGCTATAGTAAGAAACAAAGAAGGACACTACCTAAGGATAAAGGGATCAATCCAACAAGAGGATATAATGCTGGTAAACATTTACACACTGAACACAGAAGCAACTAAATATGCAAAGCAAATCTTAATGGACATAAAAAGAGGGACTGATAGAAACACAGTCATAGTCAGGGATTACAACACTCCATTGACTTCAATGGACAGATGTTCCAGATAGAAAATCAACAAGGAGACAGAGGCCTTAAATGACACACTAGATCAAATGGATTTAATTGATATCTTCAGAACATTTCACCCAAACAGCAGAATATACATATTTTTCGAGTGCACATGGAATGTTTTCTAGGATAAACCACATGTTGGGACACAAAACAAGTCTTAATAAACTTAAGAAGATTGAAATCATCTCAAGCATCTTCTCTGACTACAATGCTATGAAACTAGCAATCACAAGAACACTGAAAAACACACAGACGTGGAAGCTAAATAACATGTTATTAAACAATGACTGAGTCAACAACAAGATCAAAGAAGAAATCAAAAGACACCTTGAAACAAATGAAAATAAGAATACAACAATCCAAAATCTGTGGGACACAGGGAAAGTAATCCTAAGAGAAAAATTCATAGCATTACAGGCCTATCTCAAAAAACAAGAAAAAGCTCAAATAAACAATCTAATATCACACTTAAAGGAACTTGAAAAAAAAAACAACAAATCCTGAAGTGAGTAGAAGCAAGGAAATAATAAAAATCAAAGTAGAAATAAATAAAATAGTCTAAAAAAAGATACAAAAGATCAATGAATCCAAGAGCTGGTACTTTGAAAAGATACACAAGATTGACAAACCTTTAACCAGGCTCATCAAGGAAAAAAGAGAGAGAGAACTCAAATGAATAAAATCAGAAATAAAAGGAGAGAAATAATAAGTGACAAAGAAATTTTTTTAAAGTGAGAAAATATTATGAACAACTTTATGCCAACAAATTGGACAACCTGGAAGATACGGAAAATTCTAGGAACATACACTTCCAAAACAAAATCAGGACAAATCAGAGAATCTGAATAGACAGATCACACCAAGAGAAACTGAAGCAGTAATCAAAAATCTCCCAACAAAAGCTGTGGACCAGATGGCTTCACAGGTGAACTCTAACAAACATACCAAGAAAAACTGACATCTCTTCTTAAACTATTTCATAAAATTCAAGAGGCAGAAAGGCTCCCAAACTCATTTTACAAGGCCAACATTATCCTAATTCCAAAAGCAGATAAAGACACTACAAAAAAAGAAAATTATAGGTCCATATCCCTGATGAACAGAGTCGCTAAACCTAACCAAAATATTAGCCAACCAAATACAGCAATGCATAAGAAAAGATCATACACTATGGTCAAGTGGGATTGATTCTGGGAATGCAAGGTTGGTATGACATTCACAAATCAATTAATATGATTCACCACATACACAAAATGAAGGATAAAAGCCACATGATCATATCCATAGATTCTGAAAAAGCATTAGATAAACTCCAGCACCAATTTATGATAAAAACTCTTGGCAAAATGATAATAGAGGGAACATACCTAAACATAATAAAGGCCATTTATGAGAAACCCACTGCTAGCATCACTCTGAGCAAAAACTGCAAGTGTTTCCCTTAAGACCGGGAACTACACAGGACGTCCACTGTCACCTCTTTTACGCAACATAGTCCTGGGAGTCCAGACCACAATAATCAGACAAGAAGAAGAAATAAAAGGCATCTAAACTGGAAAGGAAGACGTGAAAGTGTCTTTATTTGCAGACAACATGATACTGTACATAAAGAACCCCAAAGATTCCACCAAGAAACTACTAGAACTGGTAAATGAATTCAGCAAAGTAGCAGAATATAAAATTAGTATTCAGAATCAGTTGCATTTTTGTATGCCAATAATGAACTAACAGAAAGGAAAATTAGGAAAACATTCTCATCCGCAATTGCCTGGAAGAGAATAAAATACCTAGGAGTGAATCTATCAAGGATGCAAAAGACATACACTCAGAAAATTATAGGACACTGAAGAAAGAAACTGAAAAAGAAACAAATTAGTGGAAGCACATACGTGTTCATGGATAGGGAGAATTAATATCATTAAAATGCCCATTCTACCCAAAGCAATCTATAGACACAATGCAATTCCTATCAAGATACCCATGACGTATTTTACAGAACTAGAACAAATATTTCAAAATTTATATAGAATCACAAAAGGCCCTGCATAACAACAGCAATCCTGAGAAAGAAGAACAAAGTTGGAGGAATCATGCTACCTAATATCAAACTATACTATAAGGCCATAGTAATCAAAACAGTATGGTGCACATATAATTGGCTAAAGATAGTTTATTCAATAAATAGTGTTGGAAAAAATTGGACAACTACATGCAGAAAAATGAAACTAGACCACCTTCTTATACCACACACAAGAATAAATTCAAAATGGATTAAATACTTAAATATTAGACCCCAAATCATAAAAATCGTAGAAGAGAACATAGGTAACAAAATCTCAGACCTTGCTCATAGCAATATTTTACTAGATGTTATCTCCCCAGGCAAAAGAAACAAAAATAAATAAATAAACAAATGGGACTACATCAAACTAAAAGGGTTTTGCACAGCAAAGAAAAACATCAACAAAATAAAAAGACAACCCACAGAATGGGAGAGCATTTTCTCCAACACATCTGATAAGGGGTTAATATCCAAAATTTATTAAGTACTTACAAAGCTCAACACCAAAAGAACAAAACAATACAATTAAAAAATGGGCAAAGGACACTTCTCCAAAGTGGACATACTGGGCAAAGAGGACAGCCAATAGACATATGAGGAGATGCTCAATGTCACTAATCATCAGAGAAATGCAAATTAAAACCACAGTGAGATCCCATCTCAGACTTGTCAGAGTGGCTATCATCAATAAATCAACAAACAAGTGCTAGTGAGGATGTAGAGAAAGGGGAACCCTTTTGCCCAGTTGGTGGGAACACAGATTGGTGCAGCTACTGTGGAAAGCAGTATGGAGATACCTCAAAAAATTAAAAATGAATCTGTCTTTTAACCCAGCGATCCCACTTCTGGGACTATATCCAAAGAATCTAACACTAATTCAAAAGGACATAAGCACCCCTATGTTCATCGCAGTGTTATTTACAATCTCCAAGGTATGGAAGCAGCCCAAGTGTCTATCAGTAGATGAGTGAATAAAACAACTATGGGACATTTACACAATGGAATACTATTCAGTCTTTAAAAAGAAGAAAAATGTACCCTTTGTGACAGTATGGAAAGACCTGGAGAACACTAGGTTAAGTGGTATAAACCAGTAAGAGAAAAATATCATATAATTTCACTCACATGTGGAATCTAATGAACAAACTGAATAACAAGTAGAATAAAGAGACTCATAGATAGCAGAGTGACAGCTAAGTGGTCACAGGGAGATGAGGGAGTACAAGGATGGTACAAAAAGGATTCATGGACTTGGACAACAGTGTAGTGATTGTGGGGACAGGCAGGTATAAGGGGACTAAATGGTAGAGGAAAAAAAATCCAATTTTAATTTTGCCAATTTCTCATTTGCTGATATAGCTCCAAAAAAATCAATCACATGATAGGTACACAATATAGAAGTAATACAAGATTTTAAAAATGTTCATGTTAACATACTTACTACTTAAGTTTTGTGAAGGACCATCAGAATGATGACAGATTAAATTTCTTAAAAAATGATCAACATTTTTAAAGCTTACATTAATGAAAAAACAAAATATTTCCTCTCACGAATACCTGGAAGGTTCCCATTGTAGTCCACATCTTCTATGCCACATCCCCATTTAACCAGAAGTTGCAAACAGCCAAGCCGTCCATGAAAAGCTGCATAATGTACAGGTTTCCATTCTCTCGCATCAGTTATGCTGGGATCCTAGAGGTAACATTCACGAAGACTAAGTTTCTTTCCATTTTGGGGGGGAAACACTAAGTCTACCAACTTAACTCTGAAGTAAGAATGGGCAGCTGTGAAAATTTATATGGAACCATAAACGAGCTCGAATAGCAGCTGCTCTTTTGAGAAAGAAGAACAAAGTAGGGGGGATCACAATACCTGATATCAAACTGTATTACAAGGCCACTGTAATCAAAACAGCCTGGTACTGGCATAAAAACAGGCACATAGACCAATGGAACAGAACAGAGAGCCCAGAAATCAACCCAACTCTCTACAGTCAATTAATATTCGACAAAGGGGGCAGTAACATAAAATGGAGTAAAGATAGCCTCTTCAACAAATGGTGTTGGGAGAACTGGACAGCTACATGCAAAAAAATGAAACTTGAGCACAGACTTACACCATACACCAAAATAAATTCAAGGTGGATAAAAGACTTAAATGTAAGTCATAACACCATTAAAGTCCTAGAGGAGAACATTGGCAAGAAAATCTCAGATATTTCACGCAGCAACTTCTTTACTGATATGTCCCCTAGAGCAAGGAATGTAAAGGAAAGAATAAACAAATGGGATCTCATCAAAATAAAAAGCTTCTGCATGGCTAAAGAAAACAGTATTAAATTAGCAAGACAACCAACTGTATGGGAAAACATATTTGCCAATGATACCTCAGACAAAGGTTTAATCTCTAAAATATACAAAGAACTTACACGACTCCACTCTAAGAAGACACCCAACCCAATTAGAAAATGGGAAAAGGACTTGAACAAACACTTCTCCAAGGAGGACATACAGAACATTCAGAGACACATGAAGAGATGCTCAATATCATTAGCTATCAGAGAGATGCAAATTAAAACCACAATGAGATACCACTTTACACCAGTCAGGATGGCTATCATAAACAAAGCAACAAACAACAAATGTTGGAGGGGTTGTGGGGAAACGGGGTCCTTAGTTCACTGTTGGTGGGAGTGCAGACTGGTACAACCATTGTGGAAAACAGTATGGATTTTTCTCAGAAAAATAAAAATCGACCTGCCTTTTGACCCAGCAATTCCACTGCTAGGATTATATCCTAAGAATCCTAAAACATCAATATCAAAAGAACCTATGCACCACAATGTTCATAGCAGCACAATTTACAATAGCCAAGAGTTGGAAGCAACCTAGGTGCCCATCAGTAAATGAATGGATCCAAAAAAATTGTGGTACATATACACAATGGAATTCTATGCTGCAGAGAGAAAGAAGGAGCTACTACCCTTTGCAACAACATGGATGGAACTGGAAAGCATTATGCTGAGTGAAATAGGCCAGGTGCTGAAAGACAAATACCATATGATCTCACCTTTAACAGGAAGCTAAACAACAAAACAAACAAGTAAGCAGAAAAAAAAACCCAAAAAACAAAGACACTGAAATAGAGAACAAGGGGATAGTGACCAGTAGGGGAGAAGGAAGGGAAGTTAAGGGAAAAAGGGGGAGGGATTTGTGAGGAACAAATCAATCAAGGAAGGACACAGGGACGAGATTTTAGTATTACTAAGGGGGAGGAAATGGGAGGGAGGTGGGGAGCAAGGGGCAGGGGAGGCTGGGATGGGAAAAATAGACAAAAAACTGTACTTGAAAAATAACTAAATAAAATTAAAAAAAAAAAAAAAGAATGGGCAGCTGTTCTTAAAATTATAAGGCAAACACTAAATATAAAAGAAAACTTTACTGAAATCACCGACTTGAACATACAAGCTAATAACATACTTTTAAAAAGAACATAACTAGCCACATAAAAATAGGTTTTAAGCCCTGGCTGATGTGGCTCAGTGGATTGAATGCTGGCCTGCAAACCAACATCACCAGTTTGATTCCCAGTCAGAGCACATGCCTGGGTTGCAGGCCGGGTCCCCAGTGGGTGGTGCGTGAGAGGCAACCACACATTGATGTTTCTCTCCCTCTTTCTCCCTCCCTTTCCCTCTCTCTAAAAATAAATAAAAATTTTTAAAAACTAGTTTTTTGGGGGGGCTGCGATGGGAGAAATAGACAGAAAACTGTACTTGAAAAATAAGTAAATAAAATAAAAAAAAAAACAACTAGTTTTTTTAAAAGGAACCTTAAAGCCCTAGCTGGGTAGCTCAGTTGGTTAGAGTGCTATGTCAAGAGTACATGTCAAGGTTGTGGGTTGAATCCCCCAGTAAGGACACATACACCCAACCAATAAATGCGTAAATAAGTGGAACAATAAATTGCTGTCGATGCTGTCTCTCTCTCTCTCTTTCCCCCCACCCACTTCTTCTCTCTCTGAAATCAATTTTAAAGAAAGAACTTTACTAGTCATTTTACTGGTCACAGGTTCCTGGACAATAAAATGAAAGGAATGGATTCAAATGATCAAATGATATCTTTAAGAGTATAAAGAAAGAGTTAATGAAAAAAATACTAAGATTTTTCACTTTTCTCTACAGAAGTACCAACTCTTACCATAATGCCCTCAATATAGGTAGTTCTTTTCTTATAATAAGTTATTTTTTTACAAACACTGAGTAATATTAAAAATAAATATCATAATAATATTTCTGGAGTTATAAATCACTTTATAAATTATTATATGAAATAAGAGCCACACAGAAATTCAGAAAAATTTACAATCACTGGTGAACATGTGTTTGAAAGCTTCAGAATCCTCCCAGTTAAACTCTGAACTGGCATGAAGAACCCATAGCCTCTGAAATAGTTTACACTACTAAACTGAGTGGGTTTGTTCTTAAGATTTATCTAAATTATTGTTCCTGTGTTTAAAGACAGAAAAGCTATAGAGATCAAATTACTTCCCTAGAGCCCTGGCCTCTATGGCTCAGTTGGTTGGAAAGTCATCCCATAGACCAAAAGGTCCTGAGTTTGATTCCCGGTCAGGGCATGTACCGGGTTGCAGGTTTAATCCCCAGTGGGGGTACATATGAGAAGGCAACCAATCAATGTTTCTTTCTCTTCCTCTTTCTCTTTCTAGCTCTCTACCTCTCTCCCCTCTCCTCTCTCTCTAAAGAGCAATGAAAACATGTCCTTGGGTAATACAAAAAATCATTTCCCTAAAGTCATGGAGAGTATTCAGAAAGTTAGGAAAAGATAACCGGACCACCAAATGCTATTTCACTTATATGGTTATACATTCTCACAGATTAACAGGAATCCCTCACCACTCCACTCCGCAGCATTATTTGTAAAGTGAAGGAATGTCCGTGTGTAGAAGCAAGGTGTACAGGAGTGCAACCACGGTCATCCTGAGCTGCCAGGTTCGCCCCATTGATTATAAGAGCCTAACAACAGAGAAATAAGAATGAGTTCATATGACTATAGATATTAAATCATAAATGCAAATGTGGGTTATTCAAAGGCAAGCAATTTATAAACCTGGCTAAATTATTATGTATGCTCTTACATATGTGCCACAGGCAAAGTATGAGAAGTTCTTAACTAATCCAAAGAAAATGTTTAAAGTCCTTTTTAACGTTGCCTAGGGAACCTTTATAATATCTGATTTTCACATTCTGATCAGAGCATTACATACAGTTTATAAGGCACACTTTTCATGAACACTGATAAATAACCACTGAGTTAAATACTTTAACCCTGAGCTAATAAAAGTCTAATTTAAACTTGCATTATTTCAAAAGCACAGTGTTTTATTAACTGGGTTTTGAATACAATAAAAGGATTCCATTATTAAAGTAACTACTTCTAAGCTTCAAATCAAACCTCTAACTGCACCTAAGAAGATTCCATCTGAATTTACAAGTGGCCCAGTTTCTATGTATGGGTTATATCATATACACAGCACATCCCTCTATATGATATGCAGAATAATTGCTTCAAAAAATTATTAATATTTTTCTAGTTTTTTCTCCCCGAGCATTTTTCCTTTTTTAAGCATCCCATATGTAGCAGTATTTTAGAAAAAGTTTAGTCATCACTCCTATCAAGAGTTTTAAGAAGAATAATCTCCATGGTTTGATTTGACTTACATTAACAAACTAGTTAAGTCGTCTCAAACCATATATTGAGCACTCACTATGTTTTAAAAGTCACTACAAAAAATATGAAGACATATTAACTTAGGGAATTAGGCTTATGTAGAGACAAAGATAACCATACAAGTCTGTCCTTGACAAGAACTAAACGTATACTAAAAAAAAAGCACTATACCAGCTCTGAGAAGGAAGAGGTCACTTTCAGAAAGAAAAGGACAATCGAGGCAAGAGAAAATGGCTTGAACTATTGCTTCTTTAATAGAGGAAGGAAAGTATCCAGTAAAGCTTCATTTGACCCCAATGTCCCCTAAAGTTACCATTTCCACTTCCTGCTTCTCAAATTAGTACCTCAACTTTAAATCCACCTGCAAACTGAGTGTCACCCCCACCACTGCATAGAAATACAGCCAGCCTCCTCTATGGTGAGCTCTTAAATTCAATGGCACATCCCTAAGCTTTATTACCTTTAGTTTTATCCTATAACTGGTACTCTGCCTAATTCCTTCACTTCCGCAGCCTAATGGATCCTGGCTCTACCTCTCAGACTTCCTCCTGTGAATTGCTTACATTTTTTCTCTGCTTTCTTCCATCTTTACTGGTAACATTCTGTAACATTTGAGACTCAGCACTCACTCTTCTCTATACTTTATTATTTGAAATATTTGTCTCCAGCCCCCTTTCAACAGCCTGCACCTTCTGCACCTGAATGACCTACAGGCACCTTAAACTCAAAATGTGCTAAATTGAACTCAACCTCTTCTCTCCCAAATCTCCCTGGCCTTTAAGATATCCCTATCTACAGTTTCATAATTCCCTGTCATTCTGACTCAAAACTTTAAATTCTCACCATACTCTGTCTATGACTGCTTTGGTAGATGTCAAATCACTTTCTCCATTTCCCACTGCCATCACCTAATTTCACCCTCTATGGTTAGTGAGTATACCAAAAATCTCTAATTGGTCTGTGCATAACTGTGCACTGCCCTTAAAACAACCCAAACAGATAAACAACTACTTCGAAGATAAAAAGGTCTCTTGTCTTATCTCATTTGTTTAAGTGGATAGTTGATACTAAAATATCTGACACAGAATCCCATAAGTTCTTATTTAGAACATATTGGGTTGGAAAAAAAATCCATTTAGTTTTTCCATAAAATAAAAGGCACGTTTTTAATTTTCACCAATAACCTCATTGATTTGTATATTTTAAGTATGTCAGTGATCTCCTGCTGTTGGCTTCTAGTGGGTAAAGGCCAGGGCTGTTGCTAAACATCTTCCAATGTGTGAGACAGGCCCAAAGCAAAGACTTATTTGGCCAAAAGGTCAACAGTGCCAAGAAACTTTGCAAACCACTTCTGACACATTTGATCAGTTATGCCACCATCTCCACACACTGCACAAATTTTTTTTTGCATTTCAGTGGTGTCTTTATCTTTCATGAAATAAAGTATAATATGCCAAAAATGTTGTGTACTTTCTTCCATCTTCAATGTTAAAATGGCTGCAGAAAAATTCACCAATTCTGATAAGTTTTTTTTAATGCAAGCTGATATGACAACTGTCACAGTACAATCGAACAAAAGTGTTTCAAATGACATTAAAGACAACTAAGCACTACTGAAACCATCATATAGAAAAATATAATGGACTTTTTGGCCAAACCAACAGAAGTGTGATTGCAGGAGGAGGGGTGTATAGGGAGACTAAATGGTAATGAAAAAAATACAATAAAAATTATTAAAAAAAATAAATTCAGAACAAAGTCCAGGAAGAGGTGATAGATAAGGAAAAGGGTATTAGCTGAAAGAAAAGTTTTAGTTGGAGAATTGAGAGAGCACTGGGAACATAAAGTGTAAGAAAAAGGTGTGAGAATTAGCAGATGGACTGTGAGGATGGAGAGGCAGCAGCGGGCAATCTGGTGAAGGGGCGAGGCCGAGATCTGGAAGGAAGCCCAGAAAAGCATCTTAGTGAGAAGTGAAGTCCATGTGAATTCCAGACAGCTGAAGTTCACATGGACTTCTCTAAAGAACTGGCATTGATAAACATTCCCTCTAAGATATAGATGCCTTCTAGGGTTTTCTAATATTCCTCATAGAATCTCCCAAAATATAAAATAAATAATTATTATTTTAACATAATCTTGAATTTCTCCTTTATAGTTATATGAAGTACATGTCTGAATAATCTCAAGGTTGGTATAAAACTACCATGGCCTTTTTCTCTTTTTTAAAAGAAATCACTCTAGGTTTCTGAAAATAGACATGTATTGATCAATCAGCTGTAGTTACTTCCCCAAATAGAAAAGTTTGGTTACACCAAAATGACACCTCACTCTTGCATTCTGTTACCAGATCCTAAACAGAACTGTTATGTCTTGAATTCCTTCAACTGTGCTCCCAGTTCAGCTTCATGCCTGTGTTTCTTTTCCTCTCCAGGCAACAACCATCCACCCTACCCCCCTTTTTTTTTCTTGTATCTCCAAGCAACTGACTCTCCTTTCAGCATCTTTTTGGTGCGGCTTTTACTTTACTCTGAAGCACTTGCTCCAAGTCAGCTTTGAAGCCTGTGCCTGGGGTCAGGATCCCCTGCCCTCTAAACAGCACAGAGAACAGGAATATACTCAGCTATCACCCTGATCAGACTGTGTCCCTTTACATCAGCCCAGGCTTGATGGCAAAGAAACTAGGTCCTATCTCCTCAACAAGGTGGAAACCTGATGGTCAGTCCTGCAAAAGTCTGGGAGGGCAGACAGGATGTCCGCTGGCTTATTAGGGTATGAGCAACATGGGGTATAACATGGAGGTTGCCACCCAGGCACTAGGGCCAGACAGTCTGAATTAAATTCCAGCTTTACCACCCCTTAGCTGTGTGACCTTGGGCAAGTTCCTCAGTCTCTCTGTGCCTCAGTTTCCTCATTTAGAAAGTGGACATTCTAATAATCCCTACCCCAAGAGTTGTTATGACGAGTATGCCGTGTAGGAATAAGCAATTGTCATGATTCTCATCCCCAGACTGGTGACCTGAAGCTGTTTGAAGAAGGGAAGGAAGTATATAACTTTCAGAATATTACGGCTTCATTAAAGAGAATGTCTAACTGGCCAATAAACATTATTTAAGGTAAAATGACTGTTTTCACTACCATTCCATTGAACACATTTTGTTTAACTTTCACCTGAATTCTTACTTTACCTGTATGTCCATGCCCATGTTCTAACACCCCAGAAGTTTTATGAGGCCCAGTCTTGGTCCGCCTTCATAATACAATTAAGTGACTAAAAATTTTTGCAAAAAATATTAGAAATAAAGGCACACTGATATGACACCTGTCACAATGCAATCCAACAAAATTGTTTTGAATGAAGCTGAAGACAACTAAACACTACTAGAGCCATTGTATGGAAAATATCTAACGGACTTTTTGGCCAACCCAACAGAAGTTAATCTACAGAATCAAACCATTAAAATAAAATCTAATTATTAAAATAAAAGCAATAGCTTATGAGAGCTATGCTGAAGTGTTAAGCTTACTGAATTTTTAAAAAGCAAACAAAGTTATTATTACCTGCATACACGCATCCTGACCCCTGATTGCAGCTATGTGAGCTGCTGTCCAGCCTCTTGTAGTTGCTAGAGTAATATCGGCCCCATGCCAGAGGAGCCAATGAAGACACTAAATTAAGAAAATAACCATGTTCACAAGTGATAAGGCAGATGTTTCGAACATTTTTATATCTTTTAAATTTAGTCTGTATCATGAAATACTGCAGCCAGAGAAGCATAAGTGAGTGAGGGAACCAGGTATAAGAAAAACAAAAGCAGAGGCACAATGATACAGTAACCAACATGTAGACTTTCCTTTAAGATTTTATTTATTTACTTACTTGTTTGTACTTACTCACTTATTTTTAGAGAGGGGGAAGGGAGAAAGAAAGGGAGAGAAACATGGATCAGTTGCTACTTACACACCCCTAACCAGGGACCAGGCCTGCAACCCAGGCATGTACCCTGACCGGGAATCGAACCAGCAATCTTTCAGTTTGCAATATGACTTCCAACCTACTGAGCCACACCAGTCAGGGCTTGGCTTTACTACTGGGTAAATAATAGGCAGCAGTGGGAACTGTGACAAACTGGAGACAACAATCCTCGTCAATAAGGTGCTACTCAATTCCGGCCGGTCATCACTGTGAGTAAAATGTTGATCCAAACCTAATATTTAACCAATATTGTACAACCCGAACAGAACATGTGTGAGCCAAATTACTCAGAGGCTGCTAGTTTGCAACCTCTGCCAAGGATGTTTCCAATGGGTCCAGAAGCTCCTGTAGCAAAGCAAACTTTGCTATTCTGATGATACTCTCTAAAAACATAGTGATTTATATTTTAAAAAGGGTGGGAATCAAATGCATCTTCATTTAAGATTTTTAAAAATTACCCTAAGTCTCATTATAATATAATACTTAGAGGTCTGTGCCACATGTAGTATTAAGTTTGTAGGCTCTACCTTCAGGAAGTTTTTTAAAATTAATTATATCATTGCAATACACTAAAATCAGTCATAGCCATATCATTTGTTGAAAAGGCTTACCATTTAGGTATTATTTGCCTGTCACAGAGATTAGTGGCCAAAAATATATTTTTTAGAAAGCTCCACTTCACTAAGAATCACAGTAAATCATTCATTTATTCCACAAATATTTCTGGAGAGACTACAATACACTATCCTGTTCCGGTATTGGAGAATACTGTAAATATTCATGTACAGGTTTTTTATTTGTCCTAGGTAAGTATGTAGAAGTGAGATCGCTGGAACATAGGTAAGCATATGTTTAACTTTATAAGAAGCCACCAACTGTTTTCTAAAGTGGCTGTATCGTTTTATACTTCCACCAGCAATGTATGAGAGTTCCAACTGTTCCATACCCTTGTCAATATCTCCTATTATCATTTCTTGGGTATTTCTGGTTTTGTTTTCTCATTCTAATATGTATGTAGCAGCATCTCATTGGGGTTTTAATTTGCATTTCCCTGATGCTTTTCATATGTTCAGCTGCCATCCATATTTTTGAGAAAGTATCTACTAAAGTTATTTGTCATTTTTTGAATTGGGTTTTTTTTGTTTTCTTATTTCTGAGTTGTAAGTCTCTTGTTCTGGTCACAAGTTCAGATACATGATTTGCATATATTTTTCTCCTGATTTTTCTTCTAGAAGTTTTATAAGGTTAAGTTTCAAACTTTCTTTTTATACATAAATGTCCAGTTGTGCCAGCAGCATTTAATGAAAACAGTATCTGTTCTCCATTACATTATATTTGCATCTTTATCAAAAATCAACTGACAAATAAGCAGGAATTCAGAAATGGCTAAGTGAGGAGTTTGGCAAATCCTCCCCAAGAAGCGATGATAAAACTGGGCAAAGGTGTCAAAAACAACAATTTAAAGACCCTGGAAATTTCCCAGAGGCAATATAACAAAATAAGGAGAATTTATTCTAGAAAATCTACTGAGTCTCAGCAAGAACAGGAAGACTGAGCCTACAGCTGCCCCTCTTCCCCACTGCATGGTGCAGAAGATCTACCTATGGACAGGCAGATCCACAGGACAGCTCCATTGTCCTACTGGAAGGGTTGGCTTAATTAAAAGCTAAACATGAAAAGTTCCATGCCCAGACACATTGTCAAAAACACTTCCACTCCTCAGAATAGCCTGAGAAAGCCAACATCAGAGCTAGCCTGAAGTCATGTTGCTGGTTGGGGCAAGCACAAAACTACAGAGTACCCAGGAAATTAATAGGGAGACACAAAAAAATGAGATGGCTAAAGTGGGCTTTACTAAGATTCCACTTATTCCTCGTAATCTAAAAGGCTGTGTGCGTGTACAAGGCTGCTCAGACTCAAGAAAAGGCTGAAGAGGAACTAAGTTAACTAGACATCCCTGGCTAACCATGAAGCCTTACAAACACATTTTTCTAAAAAAACAGATGTCCGGTCAATTTTTAAATTGCTTCAATTTTGAAAACACTCACCAAGACACACAGAGACTCATCAATAAAAGAAGAAATCCTTACTGGCTTGAGGTATTTAAGCATATGCTCTCGTAAGTCACTGGCTGACCACTAAACTATACTGACCTAGGAGTGAACCCTAAAAAGCCCAATGGACTTTTTAGGCTTTAAAAAAAACAAGAATTAAAAGAAACAACAACTGAGCAGTGGCTACATGCTGAGAAAACCAGACTCCCCCTAATTAGTCCAGGCACGTAAACAAGCAAGCACCTAGCAGCAACCACCCCAGGCAGGGGTGAGGGAGTAGGATCAAACTCCAGAGTCGCTACAATATGTAATCTGAAATGTCAAGGTTTTTAAAAAGATTTTATTTATTTATTTACTTTTAGAGACAGGGGAAGGGAGGGAGAGAGCGAGAGAAATATCAACCTCTTGCACGCTCCCATCTGGGAACGTGGCCCACAACCCAGGCACGTGCCCTGACTGGGAATCAGACTGGTGACCTTTTAGTTCTCCATGAGCCACACCAGCCAGGGCTAACATGTCGTATGTTGGAAGATGGGATTGGAGATATAAGTCTACCATATTAAATAGCTTGAACTTTGTCCTATAGAGGGTGAGTGTTAAGTAATATGAGATTTTAGTTTTAGAGTGGTAAGGTTGTATACAGAATATAAACTAGAAGTAGACAAGACAAAAAAGAAAATTAATTAGATCTAAGGCAGTGGCTATGAGGATGCAGAAGACAAAAGCGAAAAACAAAGATGGAATAGAACCAACTGACTTAGTGATCAGTTCTTACTGCATCAATGTGCACCATGAAGGGCACCTTCATCTACAGAAATGTTGATGATGTGTAATGCTTCTGAAAAAAATTGAGACAACTCAAGGAGATACTTTTTAAATGATCGCATTTGGTGCTTCTCAGATTTCCGAGAAAATTTGCTTTGCACTGTATATTACAATGATCACAACGAACAATACTGTTTTATAATAGTTCTATGCGGTTTTTCTGTTGTTGTTACTAAACAAATATTTTAGATAAGTGATCTTCAACCAGTGTGCTGCAAGAGTTTTTAAAACATGCAATACCTGACCATTTAGAGGCACATTAGACCCTCTACTGCAGCAGTCTGGGGAAACATAGCAGCTAAAATAAGCTCCCCATACGCAGCCTTGAACCTTGAGAAAAAATCTCAATTATCTTTGCACACAGCCCAAGAATAAGAAATCTTGCATAAAAAATTTACTAAGCACTGCTTGTACTAGCTAAAAATCGAAATGAACTAAATATCCATCAATTGAAAAATGAATGAATTCTGATACTAGTCTAAGAATAGACTATCACAGCATGGCTGAAAGAAATATAGTAGAGGTCTTGGCTGGTGTGGCTCAGTGGACTGAGTGTCAGCCTATGAACCAAAAGGTCACCAGCTGGATTCCCAATCAGGGCACATGCCTGGATTACAGGACGAGTGCCCAGCTGAGGGCATGTGAGAGACAACCTATCAATATATCTCCCACACATCCATGTTTCTCTCCCTCTCTTTCTCACTCCCTCCCCTCCCTCTAAAAATAAATAAATAAAATCCTTAAAAAAATAAATGACATTACATATATTTAACTACATGTATCAAGCTGCAGAATGATACATGTCATTTATATAAAACATGCCATTTAAGACCATGATACAAGCATATGCAATAACAGCATAAAACAAAGATGGGAATAATAAACACCAAATTCAGGGTGACAGTTATCTCTGGCGTTGGAAGGAGGGAAATGGTGCCTAGGAGGGCTGCACAGGGACTTCAAATGTATCTATAATATTACATTTGTTTTCCAAAAATCTGAAGCAATTATAGCAAAAATGTTAGGACTTCAGAGAACTAGGTATTCACTATGTGTTTTTAAAAGACTTTATTTATTTATCTTTAGAGGGGAAGGGAAGGAGAGAGGGAGAGAAACACCAATGGTTACCTCTCATGCGTCTCCTTTTGGGAACTGGACTGCAACCAAGGCATGTGTCCCGACTGGGAATCGAACCGTGATCCTCTGGTTCACAGGCCCGCGCTCAATGCACTGAGCTACACCAGCCAGGGTGGTATTCATTATGTTACCCACTCTAAGTTACTCTTTATGTTTGCCTTTGGAACCCAGCCACCACACTGTGAGGAAGCACAAAACAGCCCAGGCGGAGAATCTCCACAAATAGGCCCATGTGGAGGAGAATTAAGGTACCCAGCCTACAGCCAATATCTACCACCAGACATCTGCATGAACAAGACCTCAGAAGGTTCCAGCCCCAGCTTTTCAATCTGTAGCTGAAGCCCAGATATCATGGAGCAGAACAAGTTGTCAATGGGATCCAAATTCCTGGTTCACTCCTGAGCATAAATAAATGGTTCTTTTATGCTGCTACATTTTGGTCTAATTTGTTACAAAGCCAATTGACCAAAACACCCAACATTAGACTGAACTGAAAAGGAAAATATTTGCAATGCCTCATACAGGACCTCAGTCCTGTTGGTCAAGTTTACAAAATTGCTGTAAACTTAACCCAGTTTTATTCACCTTCTTACCTCCAAACTTCCAGAATGTGCTGCCCAATGTAAAGGGGTAAATTTATGGAGAATATCAACTTCATTAATGTTGGTTCCATGTTCTACTATTTCTGAAAGCTGCTTTACATCTCCAGCTCGTACTGCATCATGTATGCTACCAAAATGCACTTTCCTCCTGGCGCCTACTGAAAAATCAGATTGTTTAAATTATAACACAAAAAAATACTGAAGCAATAAGTCCAAAGAAAGAACAAAATGGCTTTGATTTTCCAAATAATTTACTACAAAGATAATTTTGATTAACATATTGATCCATTCCAATTCTAACATGAAACAAGCATGGAGAACTGGTAAACAAACTGAAAACCAATGACTTTTCTTGGGCTGATCAGAGAAATGAGGTCTCAGGAAAGACAGACAAATACAGAGAAACACATTAAAGTTCAGCTTACCTGGAGCAGGAGCCATTGGAGCCATAAAGAGCTAGAAGCACTTAAATGGGGAGTCATTGAGGGATTTTAAACAGATAAAATAATAATTATCAAATTAATGCTGGGTGTATAGGACTGGTTGTGGTTAGGGGATTGATTATGAAGCAAAATTTCAACACTAGAGATTCAGGAAGACCATGTAAGAAAATAGCTATGGTAGTCTACAGCAGAAAGGTTGAGATCTGCAACCAAGAGAATGGCATCAGGAACAGAATATTCAACAAATACTATGAAAACAGCTTGCACTGAAATTGGACGTGAATAGTGGACAAAATAAAGGAAGAGTATTAGGATAACTCCAAGGAGTCTGGCTTAGTTCCCTGGTGTGGTACCATTGAGACAGTGAATGCTAAAGGACAGAGAAGGCATATGGACACAAAATTATCCATAGACATGTTCTCCAGGTGCCCAAGCAACAGTTTCACAAGGGACTTGTATGAGTCAGCAGCTCGGAGCAGAGCTGTGAGGTTCAGACTTCAGTGTTAGATGTGTCTCAGTACTAGGTAAGTTTTTCTGATACCCATCCTCACCTCCTACTGGAACTAATGGCACTCTACTCTTCTTTATGATATTCATCACATTAGTCATTATTTGTTCAGCATTTATCTTCTCCAGGAGAAGGTAAGGAATATGCTTGTCTTCTTTAATGATATATCCTTAAGGCACAGTGCATTTTATCCACTTCGTAAATCTTTACTAGATGGCTGAATGAATAACATAGATTTGGGGGTCCCCATTAGGGTTGAAGTCATAGTACATAACAAGGAAAAAAGCACCAGTGCTGGCACAGTCCAGGGAATGAAGGAGAAGATGAAGAAAAATCAGCAAAGAAAAGGAAGAGTCAACAGAGCAGAAGGATGAAAACTAGGTAAGTCTAATGTCATCTCCACAAGGTAAATGCTTCAGAGAAGACAAAGAAGAATTTAAAGGGTTCTTACGATTTAACCAGAGTGCACATCAATGGGTGAGAAGCCTCAGGAATGTGCAGGTGGAAAGAAAGGCAGTAAAGCTAAAACGAGGGAGGTTGGGGAAAAGGTGAACAGTTTTGAGACTCAGTGAAAATAAGTCACTAAGGGGAAAAGAGGATTGACAGCTGAGAAAGACAACTGCCAGAAAGGGATAAGGCTGCTAGGGGCAGAAGTGAGAAAAGGAGACAAGGGCCATGGAAGTAATAAGACTCACACGGGGTTGCGTTCTCCGTGGAGGAGGTGGAGGGGCCTGACCCGGGCACCCCGGGCATGGTGCGGTCCCACGAACTCCGGGGTGGAGATGAGTCCAGGCCCCTGCTGCTGCGACGGTCTTCACTGGCTGTCACCCATGAGCCACCGCAGAGACCGCTTTCGTCTTCGCTAGGACCAGGGCCGCCGTCCTCCCTTGCTCTCTCCCAGGAGCCCCTGGAGCGGAACCCTCCGTCTTCACTTTCCTTCTCCCAGAAACCACTGAGGCGGCGGCTGGAGTCTTGGCTGCCGCTCACCTGGGAGGAGTCGCTGGCCGCGTAGCCGCGATCTTCACTTACTCCCTCCCAGGAACTACTGAAGCTGAGGCCGCCATCAACACTCCCTCCTCCCCAAGAGTCACTGAGGCGGAGGCTGCGGTCTTCACTGCCCCTTTCCCCAGAGTCGCTGGTTCCGGGGCCGCGGACTTCCCTGACCCCCTCCCAGGTACTACAGAGGTGGCGGCCGCAGTCTTCTCTGCCGGTTCCCCCAGAGTCACTAGAGTGGTGGCCGCCCACTTCACTGAAACGGATGTCGCTGCTGCCAAATCCGCGGTCTCCTCTCACTCTCTCCCAAGAGCTGCTGTGACCGTGGCCACTATCTCCCCTAACTGTCTCCCGAGAACCACCGCGGCGGTGACCCAGGTCTTCACTGACCCTTCTGGAGTCACTGATGGAGAAGATAATGTCCTCACTTACGCTTCCCGTGGAGACGCTGCAGCGACGGTCATCACCTTCACGGGTTCTTTCCCTGTCTTCGCTGAAACTGAACTCCTGGTCTTCGCTACCTCTTTCCTTTGACCGGCCGCCGCGATGGCTGGGTCGGCCGTTTATCCTCCACACACCAGGGCCAGTTGTGGCGGCCGCCGTCTTCGGCTGCTATTCCCTGCGAGTCGCTGTGGCGGCGACCGCCGAACACGGGTACGCTCTCCTCCGAGTAACTTTCTAGCGTTCTGACTCCCGCCACCTGCTTGGAGCGACGGCGGCTGAGCCGTCGCCTTGGAAACGAATAAACTTCCGGCGTGCTCGGGTCATTTCCAGTTCCTTACGACTTGCGTCACTTCCGTCTTCCCTTCCTTCACCTTTTTCAAGGCTTCCCTTCGAGAGTCGGGTCCTGGTGTATACCGGTTTTCGGTGAAATTCCTTTCGGTCTCATACCCAGGGTTATCTAGGCCCTGTCTTTGTAACTGCTAGGCCTGGATCGTGCCCTTCATGGCTCAGCGCTCAGGTGGAGGCTCCAGGATTGCCGTCTGCGTAGGTGACCTGTGTGGCGCGTGCCGGGCGGGGCCTTTCGTCCTTGGCAAACCTAGTGTAATTGTTTAAGTGCTGGTTGGGACGTTGAAGAAAAGCTATTCTTAATCCTAACTTCTCACAGGTGTGGAAAAAGACCTAAAGGAAAAGGTAGCAGCTGCAGCCGCTCTCACTATTGAGTGCTTACTATTGCCTGGTCCTTTGATAATCGTTTGGTACTTAATTCTCACAATAATTTTGTAAGGTAGGTGTTACCCCTATTTTACAGGTAAGGACATTCAAAGTATCAGTTACTTGCCAAGGCCAAACAGGTAAGTTGTAGAACCAGTGCAAAAAAAGCAAAACAAAAAAAATCACAGGTTATTTGTTAAGAGACTGCTCCAGGTTTTCTGACTTAAAATTCAAGGTTCCTTTCACTGTAACTGTAAAATGTTTACTTTGAACAATTTGGCCCAGATCTTTTTCTTCAACCCTATTGCTTAACATGTATTTTTCATTAACTATTTATTGTAAATGTATGGGTCAAATGTGTGCAAACTTACTAGCAGCTGAGAATGCAGAAATTACAGTTGTCCTCCAATGTCATCACCCACCTTGATTCTCCTCATCCTGGTTTTTTCCCCTATCATTTTTGCCGTGCCACGGCAGGGGGAGGTGGGGGGCCGCAGGCAGTTGTAGTTGCTATAGTTGCTACTTTTTTTAAGCTACAAAACTTTTAAATTTTGTTTTTCAATTACAGTTGACATTCATTATTTTTTGTATTAGTTTCTGGTATACAGCATAGTTTCAGACAATCATGTACTTTACAAGGTGATCGCCCCTGATATTTAAGTACCCATCTGGCATCATACATGGTTCTTACAATGTTGACTTTATTCCCTATGCTGTACTTTACATCAGTTTTGTAACTACCAATCTGTACTTCTCAATCCCTTCACCTTTTTCACCTCCTCCCCCTAACCTCCTGACCTCTGCCTTGCCATAGGTTTTTGGAAATTCCCCTGACTGTATTTTTCCTCTCTTGAAATACAGTAAGTTGCCTTTCTTTAACTTCCACAGCATCTTGTAATATTAATAACTGCCATTTGTTGAGCTCATATGATGAGTCTGGCACTATAGTAAGTGCTTTATATTAGTTTTATTTAATCCTTAATATAACCTTCCAGGATAGTATTACTGTTGCTTTACACAGATAAAGCGCCAAAGTTAATTGTCTCAGAACACATAACTAGTTAGTTGGAAGTACCTGAATCAGGGTTCCAAACTAGATCTTTGATTTTGCTGCATATACTCCTCAAAGTCTCTGAATTCCTGCAACCTTTATATTAGACCACTTATCACATTGTATTATAATTACCTGGTTAACAGTTGATTTTCACCCCTACCCTTCAAGGACTCTGAGCTTTTTGAAGGTAGGTACTGGTTTCTTTCTTCATTTTGGAGTTCCTGAGATCTAGAATATATAGTTCAAGGGGGAAGTGCTTACTAACTGCTGTGTGGGTGAGTGGGTCGGCTGATTGGTTGATTGTCTGGTGGATGAACTGATAGACTGAAAGTAAAGGTTTTTACACATAGGAGAGATTTGGGGATTAGTCATCCCAATTACCTCATTTTTAGAAATGGGGCATTTGCGGCATTTTACCAGATATCTGTTGAATTATTCATATGGGACACTTTCTATGCTAAGGGATTTGCAAATAGTTTCAAATTTAATCAGTATTATTATTTCTGTTTTTACAGATGAAGAAACAGCGCAGATTTGGCCAAGATCACATAACTAGGAGGTGGGGGATTGGAACCAACTATGATTGACTCCAAATTAATATAGTGCTGTAGCCACTTACACAATAATGGTAAAGGGTTCATTTTTTTGCTCTGGATAAACTCACTGAGGGAATGAGGCCATGTGTACATCCTTAAAGGATGTACACATGGCAGGAAGGAACAGAAAAGGAAACAGAAACAGCACAAAAGCAGAAAAAATAAAATCTCCCAAAAGACATTAAAAAGGATTTAAAAGTAAAAGCAGAAGTAATTGAAATGGAAAATAAATTGATCACAATAATAGCTGGCACTTGAAAAGAACAATAAATAGACACTTAGCAAATCTGAGGGAGAAAAGGAAACAATTGGAAAACAAAAGGAACATTTTACAGATTTGAGGGTCTTTGAAAATCAGAAATAATTTAATGTAAACTTATTCTAATACTCCTGAAAATTGACTTGCATAATTTCCTAGGAAAGTATAATTTAAAAAAAAATTGGCCTAAGGGTTAGAAAACCTTAATAAACTGATAATCATAAAAGAATGACCTATGTATGCCTGACAAAAGGCACCAGGAACAAAGCATAAAGAAGAATACTTCCCAACTATGATGGTATTAACTTAATAAATGCTAAATAAGGAGAGCTTTGAAAGAAAAAAAAAAAGTGTATCTCAGTCTCACCAATGTGAATGCAAAAATTCTAAGGAAACTATGAAGCAGTCAGTGCATTTAGAGAATGTCATAACCAAGTTGTGTTTATCCTACCAGTACAAGGATGGGTTACCTTTAGACAGTATAGCAATGAAAATACTCTAATTTAATAAATGAGAAAACTGTATGATCTTAAGTCATATGAAAAGTCACTTGAAAAATTAGCATCTATTACTGATTTAAAGTTAAATTCATATTAATAAAAAGAACTTTAACTGAATGAACAAATAAACAGCACACTTAATGTTATAGTCCATGTTAATTGCAGTCATTCCTGTGAGATGGCACTGGTTTGCAATTTTTGGTCCCAGTGTAATAATAAGCAAGATAAGTTAATGATTGGAAAGGAAATGAAGACATGATGTCATTGTTTATCTAGAATGTCTAAGACAACTGTAAAATACTAAATGTTAGAATAAAAAGTTCAGTAAGATGGTAAGCTTGATAGCAACATACCAAAGTAAGATTTGCCACTAATTAGAATCAATTTTTAAATGTAAAGAAAGATCTCATTCACGTTAGCAGCAACGGTGGAAAATTCTAGGAATAAGTTTATCAAGAAGCAAGCAAAGTCTACCAGAAAAAAACCACAGAACTTCATTTATGGATGTTACAAAAGATCCAGATAGATGGAAAGATGCTGTGTCCCTGTGTGAAGAGGGTCAGTACTGTAGGTTGGATTCTCCTGAGACCATAAATTGGTTGCATTTTAAGTAAATTCTAATGTAATTTTTAGTGGAAATTGGCAAGATAATTTAAAGTTTATCTGGAAGATTAAATGTGGATTAAAACATTTCTGAAAAAGGACAATTAGTGAGATCCATATTAGAACTATAAAGCTAGAGTATTTAGAACAGGGTGGTCTAGGAACAGGACTAGACATTAGTGGAACAAACTATTAATAGAGTGCAGAAATAAGCCCATTTATTTGTTTATTACAGAGGTTTTTTCAAATGGAGAAATGGCTCTTACGTATTTTCACATACAACAATTTCAGAATTAAAGATGAACATAAAGTGTTAGAAGACAGTACAAAAAAGTTGTTTCATCTTAGGAAGACCTCTCTAAGCAAGACAAGCCCCAGAGACCACAGAGGGAAAAAATTAGTATAATAAACATTTAAAAGGCTACAACCTATGTTACTATAAAGTCAAGATTGGAGAAGACACTCTAAAAGTTTAAGTCAAGAAAGAATAACAAAGTCATGAGCAAAAAACAATTAAAATACCAAGTGGAAAATAGCAAAAGAAAGGACAAATTCATAGGCTGTTTGAGCAGCACAAGGATAAAAACTATGGACATTAAGTGTTGCAAGAGGTTGTCTAAACAAAGCACTCTGAAGACTGCTGGTGAAAGACTAAAGTGTAGTGACCCATGAAGGACAATTTCACACCTGTCAAAATTCTAGATAGATACTATGCTTTAACCAGCAGCTTTCAAGTTGTAAAATCTTCAAACTAACTGGCTGACATGAATGTACTAGGATAGTCATTGCAACAATTTGTAATTAAATAGAAATTTGAATATCCATCAGTGAAAGAATGGCTAAAGGATGTTACATTCATGCTAGGAAATGCATAGCAGTAGACATACAGATCTATGCATTAATCAACAGGGAAGGTTTGTAAGATGGTAAATGAAAAAAGGCAAACATATTTGTGTGTGTGTATATATATATATATATACACACACACACACACACATATATATATATTATGTGTGATCTCATTTAATTTCTAAAATAACGGTAAAATTTTTTTCTAAGTTCAAGAAGGATCTATACCAGATTGTTAACTCCATGGTTACTTTATACAAGAAAGGACATGAAAGACTATTTTTTATACTTGTATTTGATTTCTGAAGTTTAGTTCTTCCTAAGTAAAAATACAGAAGTACAGAAAGACATGCACTGTCACATAAAGCAAAGGATAATTTTAAGGAGTATATGACCCAGGAAAGATTAAGAGGCTGAGAAAAGCACATTGGTTCTGGCAAGGAGTCATTGATAATACTCAAAGGAATTTTAATGAAGTAGTCAAGATGTAAAAACCAGGTTGCACAGAATTTTAAGGTAAGTAAGGGACTGACATGAAGTTTCTCAAGTGAAACCGTGTCAACACACTGAAGTGGGCATCTCAGCATTCTAAG